CGGTGATGCTGGTGGGGCTGGTGGAGCAGGTGGGGCCGGTGATGCTGGTGGGGCTGGTGGAGCAGGTGGGGCCGGTGATGCTGGTGGGGCTGGTGATGCTGGTGGAGCAGGTGGGGCTGGTGATGCTGGTGGAGCAGGTGGGGCTGGAGGAGGTGATGGGGGTGATGCAGGAAAGGAAACTCCTGGAGAGGGCTCCGGAGAAGGTGGGGCTGGAGATGACCAAGAAAAGAAGAAAAGCAAAGAACCGGAGAAACCTGTAGGTAAGATGATGGCTGTAGAGAGTCTTCACATTACCAGAGGCTGCATTCCTCAGACTCCTAGAATTTCCGTGCTATTATGCCGATGTAAACTCCAGCACTGGCCTCCAAAATTCATCTTATTTACTGATATAGGAACAATTTCAGATGTTGGAGGAATAGATGACAATAGTAATATTTTCAAAGGTAAACTCAACTCAAATGAACATACAAAGAGGCAGAAATTTCTAGAACTCAATCTCATGCTTAAGATGACGGAGCAGAATAAAGTGCGAGAATATCGGGTGGATCAGCGTGTTTCATCATCACAATTGTACAGACCGAGTACGTCCACGCATACTGTATGGTTCCAAATACTGCCTCTGAATACTGCCTTCTTTCATATTTGTGCTTCATTCATCTATAAATGGCAGTTGGTTCACAGAATAAAAAATGCGACGTGAAAATGGCGCGTAAAATATACATTTCGGATACTCTGGGTAGGTAATTTAAGTTGAATGTACTAACAAATAGCAAACAGTGACGGGGTTGTTACTAACAGTGGTGACGTCCCCCACAGTACCTGAACTTCATATCACCACTGGCCTGGAGGATGTGCGAGCCATCCTGGGAGAATCAGCACAAATGGTCTGCAAAGTGAACCTTGAGGCCTGCAACGGAATCTGGTACAAAGACGGAAAAGAGGTACAGTATGGGGTCAAGGAATCCGGTGCATTCTCTGTATAGTGTGAGCGAAGCTTAAGTGCTGCAATTTCCATGTCTTTGTGCCGCCGGCCAGATCACTTCCTCAGCAGAGATGAAAATTTCTAAGGACGGCACTTCCCACGTGCTGAAAATGAAGAAGGTCACGGAAGAATTAGGTGGAAAGTATCGCTTTGAGGCTGAAGGGCGGAAAACGGAGGCCACGCTTATCGTGGAAGGTCTGAACAAGTCCCCTTTGGAAAAATTTCCATATTTATCCTTAAAAAGTTTTGTTTCAAAAATGTAATATGACTTTGATCCAAATATCAATATCATTTAACTAGTTTTCAATGAAAAGACATATAGGGTAAGACAGTATCTTCAAAAGTGGGTGATAGATCCTGGAGGCCTATATCCTGTTGTACTAGTTGTTATTAACCTTACACCAGCTTAGCCTTTTCCCCCTTGTGGTTTAGACCCACCCAAGTTTGACAAGAAAGAACTGGCTACGTTCACCACGCCGGTCACCGTGAAAACCGGCCAACATGCTACGTTCAAGGTCCCTTTCACGGGCCGTGAGCCATTTAAAATTAAGTGGTACAAGGAGGGAGAAGAGCTGAGCAATGACGTCAACGTCAAGATCGAGATGGCCCCTGGGCACTCCCGGCTGCTCCTCAGCAAGCTGCACCGCAAAGACACTGGGGAAATCAAGATAAAGGTCAAGAACGAGTGTGGTGTCGTAGAAGCCTACAGCAAACTCACTGTCCTTGGTAAGTAGACATGCTTCCTCCTGAGTGTACACCAAAATAAAGAAACACACTGCACCAACAACGGAGCAGGTTGTTTAACAAGTTTTCTTCTTGATTCCAATATATTTTTTGTGTTATGTAACAACCACATAACTCCTAATAATATTCCTAAAGTAATTTTCATAACACTTTACTTAAAGCTCTCATCTATAATACAGTATAGACGTCTTCATAATGCATTATAATGCACAGTACGTGGTATCAAGAGGACATTATAGATGAGAGCTTCATAAAGCATTCATAATGCGTGATGAACATGGCTATGATGTGCTATGCCTTTTTATAAATACGTGTAGACATGTTTATGATGCTTAATGAATGCATTATAATTCTCACAGACATGGCATTCATAGAAAGTATTACTGTAATTTCTTCAAACACAGTAGTGATACATACACCACACCCTATTTTGCAGATATATAGTGATACATACACCACACCCTATTTTGCAGATATATAGTGATATATACACCACGCCCTGTTTTGCAGATAAACCTACTCCACCACAAGGACCTCTGGAAGTTCTCGAAAGTTCTGCCAAAGGCATTGAGATCAAGTGGAGACCCCCAAAGGACGATGGCGGCTGTCCAATTATCAATTACAACCTGGAGCGTCAGCAGTTGGGACGCAACACCTGGAAGAAAATTGGAAACGTCCCGGCCAATCCCCCAGTGTACAAGGACAATGACGTGGACCATGGCAGGAAATACTGCTACCGCATCAGAGCGATATCATCAGAGGGTACCAGTGACGATTATGAGACAGAGGATGTCCAGGCAGGCACCAAGGGTGAGTTAAATTCGGGGAAGCAGACAAGCTATAGAAAGCAAGCAAATATGTGAAAATAATTTCTAAATATATGTATATTTTAGCATATCCTGGTCCACCTGTAACACCCAAGGTGGTCAGCGCTTTTAAGGACTGCATCAATCTGACCTGGGCCCCCCCTACCAACACTGGCGGAAGCAGCATTTTGGGTTACAACCTGGAGAAACGCAAGAAGGGCAGCAACCTGTGGATCCAGGTTAACCCGGAAGGAGAGCCAATTCAAGGTGCGGCTTTCACTTTGACTTGACACAGTTACCGTTTGGCTTGCTTTGTTATTACGTGTCGATGTTTTTTATGAACATCACTGCACTGTCATACGTAAGCAGAGAAATGCACAAGTGGTTAAGATGCTGTCCTCTTGTACAAATCTTATCTGGAATCATGTAGGACATACTGATCTGTAGAACTTGGCAAACCCATCGCGGATGGACGAGGCAGCTTTGCTCAAATGGGGGCACTCTTTCATTCTGAGCCCTTAAAAGGACCGAACACAACCATCAAGACTCGATTCACCTACACCCCTGACACAGTCTGCTCACTGTGCTGACTCTCCCCACATGCCACATACAACACATAATATTAAACACTACAAAATATGCACTAATTATACACAACTATTTACATTATTTACATGGCTGGCACCTGCTCAGCATGCCGCACTGGCCGATGGGCACCCCTAGTTTATTCCCATCTATGGAATACCGAGTAGTGATGATGATGTCAGGCTGGGGACAGGTCATGTGACTAATACCACATGCTCATTTGGTTCACCAATGCCCTGTTCTTTTTCAGTGCTCCATTATTTTCTCCCACCCCCAATACATGCACCCAAAACCTGCTTTTTTGTCACACGCCAACCTGTTTTGTTTTCTTGCCCAAGTTTGTTTGTCTGTTTTTGTTTTCTTGCCAAAATATGTCTGAATTTGGTTACCATCCCCCTTACGCCACATCAATAGTAGCCCTGTTCATTCTACTGCCTAGAGGAACTGGTCATACATAAAAATATATATATAGTGCTAATTGTGGTTAATGTCCATCTTTGACAGATGGTTGAGCATGTCATTTATTAATATTTTAATTTTACACAGGAAATGTATACATTCACAAGTCTGAAAGGATGATTAGACATACTTTTTAATTTAATCTGAGTACAGATATGCTGTGTAAGTTCTCATTAGTGCAGTAAGCCATGTGAAGTTAAATTAAAATGATGGCTATTGCATAACCAATGCTACCTGTCCATTTTTACCCTCAGCAAGAAAGTATGCAGTGACAGACGTAGTCATAGGGATTGCGTATGAATTCCGGATATCAGCAGTCAATGTTTCTGGGTCAGGTGAACCAAGTACCCCAACTGAGTGGGTGATTGCAAGAGATCCCAAGAGTAAGTCACGCATCGATAAAAATGGAACAACTGTATTTACTCATTGCACAATAAATTTGAAACATTTTTTGTTATGAATTAAAGAAACTGAAAGGATGGAAGTATGACAATATTTGGTAACACAATGCATCTTCATAATGCATTCATTATGCATTCATAGAACATTCATAAGCAGCATGCAAGTACACCTTAACATCTTAACATCCCTTAACAGCTTTAATACACATTAATAACAAACATTACATGATTATACAATTATAATGTTTGTTATTATTATATAATGTTTGTTATTAATGTATATTACAGCTGTTAAGGGATGTTAGGATGTTAAGGTATACATACATGATGTTTATGAATTTTATGAATATTTAATGAATACATTATGAAGGTATACTGAATGTTTTATGAATGTAATATAAAAGCATTATGAAGGTGCAGTTAATGTAAAGCGTTACCCAATATTTTAAGAGTTTAGTACAGCGAGACCTTATACCAAGCACTCATTCTGTGACAAAACAGTCTCTAACACTGCGATGTTCGTCCAGAGCCCCCAGGGAAAGTTGTTGATCTGAAGGTGATCGACTCGACATACAACAGTCTGTCCCTTGCCTGGACTAAACCCAAGGTGGAAGCCAGGATGTATGACGAGGCCAAGGGCTACTTTGTGGAGATCAGGCCCGCGGAGAGCATGGAGTGGGCTCGCTGTAACCCCAATCCCATCACCACGGTCACGTTCACCGTGAAGGGCATGAAGTCCATGGCCATGTACTGGGTGAGGGTGATGGCCATGAACGAGGGGGGGTTGGGAGAGCCCCAAGAACTGGACAACTACATCCTGGCCATGCCCCCACCCGGTGAGTGAAAAGTGTACATGGTAACATCGTTTGATGTACGAATATCAGTATTGTATAATGATTTTAATTGATTTTGCAAATTTCAATATAATCTGTACTTTGCAGAGAGACAGAGTCGCAATCATTTCACACGTCCCTTTTGCGGAGAAGCTGCATAGATGGGAGACAGAATCCGCTGCTGCCCACAGCCTGCCTCTAGCTGATAATCAGGGTGGCAGAAGTGGCATGCGGTGTTATTTTGGTTTAAAAACGAACAATTAGTGAACTTGGCAGAGGGGACAGTCCATATGCAACGATGCTACAAGGGGACAAGACATCTATCTAGGCGAAGCAGCAGTCTCACCCGGATTTATATACTGCAGTGTTTCCTAATCCAGTCCTCAAGGACTCGCAGACATTCCATGGTTTTGCTTCGTTTTAGCTTCCGGGAAACAAAACATGGACTGTCTGGGAGTCCCCAGGGACCGGGTTGGGAAACACTGACATAAGCAGTTTACAGATCATCACGTGCATGACGACAGATATAAGAAACATGACAGTGATGTCATTCAGTGGTTATTACGTTTCATGTTTCTGCTTATCTGTCATGCTTAGCTACGCCCTCACAAGGGATCATTCATATTTTTTTCCCCATAAAAGAACAGTAGACCAGGCTAAATGACAGAGGCTTTGCTACAGCTGAAGCAAAATGAATTTACAAAAAATCTACATGTAAAATGGATTTTAATTAATCTTGTGCGTATTTCACTGATAATGTTAAAACATATATATTGTAGGTTTTGCTGTTGGTTTACTTCATAAACAGATATGTTTATTTCAAAGCAATGTAATATTTAAATGGGAATGTTGTACAGTACTGATTTGGTATTTATATCGAGGTACTGAAGCTGGTATAAAGCTGGTATCACAGTTAAAATGTTTCTAATTTTAGTGCATTGTAGATTTAGCCTGGTTATTCCATAGCTGCTTTAGTAATGGCCAGTATCATTCTCAGGTATCATTTTAGCTGGAGCCTGAGCTTTTCAATGGGGTTAATTAAAATATGCAAAACCCAAATGGAAGCGTCCCAAACTGAAAAATCTGTTTTCCAGTGAGGCCACGATTCACAGATTCCAAACTGAAAAGCTTCTGGATTGTCCGAGCAGGGAATTCTGCACGGATCAACATTTCTTTTGAGGTAAGAGTGAAAAACCAACATCTAGATATAGATCAGCATATATTCACTATAGATGTGCCATTCCACCACAGGCCACACACACATACTCTTAATATTTAAGCTAAATCCACCTATTTTGCATTACCTCATACCCAATATACAGCCATGATGACTTAAGTTGGATATTTTAACCTGAAGAGTCAATAAACCTGTCATCAATGCTTTAAAACTTTATAAAATGATATAATACCACTATATTAGCTTTGTTTTTGAAATTCCTTTTTCGCCATTGGTTATCGCCCCTCATTTGTGGTTGGATGTGCTGTACAGGCTTCTCCATGGCCCGAGGTAACTTGGTTGAAGGATGGCTTTCCCATTTCCAAACGGGTGACAGTGACCAACGCAGAGGGGGCTTCCCAGCTCCTCATCCCCTCCTCAGAGCGCTCCGACAGTGGAGTGTACGCCATCATAGTCAAGAATCTGGTCGGCCAGGAAACCTTCAGCGTAGAGATCAGAGTTACAGGTAATGCCAACACCTTGTGCGATCTTTGAGTCATAAAAAAGGCATGTTTTACATACAAAGTATCGCTGAGAGCTGTTCTCTGATTCAGCTGAGATTGCAAGTCAGTAGACTACTCAATGATTTCAAAATGACAGAATGATGACTTTTGTATTTGACACAGTATCATAAACATCCATCCATCCATCAGTCATCTATAGCTTATCCAACATCCATCCATCCATCCATCTATAGCTTATCCAGTAAAGGGCTGCACTGATGCAGGAATCTATCCCAGGAACCATTGGGTACGATGCAAGGGACAGTCTGGACAGGATGCCAGTCCATCCCAGGGCACAAACTCAAGCACACAATCACAGACTACGGACAATGTAGAAACACACTTCACCTCTTTTGGGTGAAGCCATTGCAAACACAGGGAAACAATGCAAACCACATGCACACAAAGAGTTCAAACCTCATCTTTGCTGATATGAGACCCCAGTTCTACATCCAGATACACTGTGCTGTCCTCATAATTTTTCAACATTGCTGCTTCTATATGTATCTCCAGATGAACCAAAGCCACCTGGTCCTGTGGAACTAGAAGAAAACGTCCCCAGCACAGTGACCTTGTCCTGGGAACCTTCTCCGGATGAGAAGCGCGATGACCGGCTGCACTACGTGGTGAACCAGCGAGACTCCATCAAGCGGACCTGGCACACGGTGGGCGACCGGATCTTCAACAACAAGTTCACCGCCTGCAACATTCTGCCCGGGAGAGAGTACCACTTCCGCGTGTACGCCAAGAACGACATGGGGATGTCCGACCCAGTCGAATCAACAGCTTGGGAGATCTACCGGAAGAAAGGTGCATGAATGAGTCTACTTTGTTATGGATACTGTCCATTCCAATTATAAGACACTCTGAATCACCTTGTGAAAGACATTCAGAAGTTGAACTGTTGAGAAGTTCTAATATTTTGTTGGACAATACTGCGCTAAATGAATACCATTATTTATGTACAAAATATACATGAAGTATAAAAATACATTAGAACTGGAGCTAAATATTCCTTCTTATGTTTTCCTTCATTCCCCCAGAAAAGTTTACCATTAATATCCCAGAGTCTAAACAATGTAACTTAGAGAAGGCGCCCAAGTTCCTGGTGCCGCTGAAGATGCACTCGGCTCCCCAGGGCTACGAATGCTACATGAGCTGCGCGGTGAGGGGTAACCCGGTACCTCGGGTCATCTGGTACCGCGACAACGTGAGCATCAACAGCAACGCCAACTATTACATCACCAACACCTGCGGCGTCTGCTCCATGCTGATCATCAGGGTCGAGTCCAAGGACACTGGGGAGTTCAAGGTCATCGCGGATAATAAACTGGGCCGGGCCGAGAGCTCCACCATCCTCAATGTTAGAGGTAAGGATGGTGACCATGTTCTAAAGATCTCATGACACAACCGCAATTCGAATGTCTACATTTTTTATTTGGTAATATAAAGAATGGAAAACTGTTTGCTAACGGTAATTTCTTTCTTTCAGAATGAAGCAGGGGAAGGTCAGGCTGATGAAGCCATCACATTGGTCTTATCTTCTAGAATTCCTCTCACGTTTTATTAAAATTTACTTTAAAATTGCTAATGTGTGATTATAAATGTGACCCAATTTATTTTTAGGTGTCCACTAAAATGCCTGTTGACAAGTGTTCAGCATGTCTTCTCTGTGAAACTGTGCGAAGCCTCTACCCACTAAACTTTAATTAAAAATTCTGCCCATTGTACTATTGCTGAGGCATTAGCACTAAGTGAGAAAGGTGATAGCATCCCAATATTCTCAGTATCAAAAAAGGCTCACACCGGCCCAACAACAGTGGGCAACATAAATGAAAATGGGCATAATCAAAAAAATTTAAATACATTAAAAGCATTATACTACCTAGAATCATATACACTATAACTAATGGCATGCATGTCTGAAAGATTTTTTTGGGTGTATTGGACCTAACAAAGATGCATGCAAGTTTTTGACAACAGATATATGGACTAAGAAGCTCAGTGAAAATATGATTTCTTCTACACTGTTGACTAATAAATTAACATATTGATATGAAACAGTCTTTGTGATTTAAAAATGGATATGCAGTGTAATGCTGACAGGTGTTCTTGTGTTTACAAAGAAAGCAACTGATAATTGTTTTGGCAATTTTGTGCTATTCAAAATGTACATTTTTCTTTATGTGCCAGTCATTGAACACTGAAACATATTAATTTTAAAAAGGACTTTTGATTGTCAAGTATGTGTTAAGCGCAACTGCTTTGCACAAATAAATATAAATGCATGTGATACTGAACAGTAATGCATGGAATGTAAGCGTTGTTATATAAATGTTGTTTAAATCAAGACGACCAATTTAAAGAACATTTATATGATGACATTTCTTTTCACAATTGTCAACATCTGTCAAAGAAATTTATTGTCAACAACATTTATTTCCACAATTGTCACAAAAATATTTGTGGTATCAAAGACAACTCTGTCCATGTTTAGTTTTATACATTATACTATGCTTTATTACATTATACTATGCTTTATTACATTATACTATGCTTTATTACATTACAGTATACTGAAAAAGCATGCGATGTTACCTGCTATGATTTTAAATCGTGGAGTCTTATTAAATGTTGCACAATACTTTTTTCAATGCATTCCCAATGAGATATTTTTCATGAATTCCGAAAATGCAAAAGAACATAATCCCAGGGTCCATTACCCCAAGAAGAACCCGTCACATCTGCATGTAACACATCTTTCAGCTGACCTGGGTCCATTTTGATATTTCCCAATGTATGTTTTATTAACATTGTGTAAATATTAAGGTGAATTTAACATGACACAGTTCTCACGTGCCAAATTAAACTACCAAAGATTAATATGGATATAGACCACCATGTCTATTCATCATGATCAAACAGTGATGCATATATCAAATATACTTTTTACATAATGCATGTCCTTAACAGCAGTGAGCACATGGGGAGGAGTCAAACCCTGCTAACCAACAGTGTCTCTCTGGTCACTGTGCTCCAACTCAGCTGGAGGTCTAACATTAACAGAAATCTGCTCTGAGCGCAAGGACTGTGCAAAAACAGGATAAGGCGCTATATAGCCATTCTATTCTATACAATTCTGATACCACAGCCAACACAGGAACTACTGGACGAGAGGCTGGGAGTTGTGTGAAAGTAAGTAAATCTCTTACATCCTTGTTCACATCCAGGGCAGTGGAAGGAATTTTGAAGAATAGTTCATTCTTTTGATATGTGATTCCATTGATCTTTGTGTTTTATTCACATGGGGTCATCCAGTGTGTGTCTAGGGGAGTATAAAAATATTTTAATAATGATTACCGCAAGGAGAAAAAATTTAAAGAATATCTTCTGAATTCTTGTGGAGAGAAACGCAGCTTACAAATTATGTGAAAAAGTAAGAATAAACGCCATGTCAACAGACGTCCAGTGATGGTGTCCTCCCAAACTAGGTGTCCTTTTCTTGAACTTTGGATACACACACCTGCCGTTTTTCAATAATTTTAAAATCAGCTCAAAATACCACATTAAAAAGTACCTAGAAAAAAAACATCGGATTATGCTTTGCAGCTGAATGCAATGACAATTTTCCAGAAAAAAAAATAAAATGAAAGTGTGTGAACTGCTCATACAATGCAAAATTTTGAAATTGCTTTATTATTTCACATAAATAATTATCTGAAATATACAATAATGGTACATAATAAGTCAAGGTCCAGATGTTAAGTAAAGAGGATTTCAGAGCCCACGTCCATACAGACAGTTGGCTAATTCCTCATGGAAGAAAAAGGGAAAACATAATCCACAACATTGTGTTTTCATCATCTTGCATTTAAATATGTTATCAGTGAAAAGTATTTACACACCTACTGAAAGTCAATTGTTTCTCAACAAGTTTTTCAACCCTAAGCACACCTTGAAGTTATGTCGGCAGTATTATCTTGTGAACAGGGAAAGAGATTGACCCTTTGAAGTTATGTAGTAAGTGCTGCGACAGATGATCTGGCCCCCACAATCCCCCGACCTGGACCCTAAAGACGGTATTTGAAATGGGCAAAAAACCGCACTCTTGTTATTCTGTGTTGGTACATAAGAAATATTCCCCGTATTCTGAAGATAAAAACAAAGAGGTGTTTACTGCATACCTGTGAGTACCGGCCCACTAAAAGCACCATCTATAGAGCTGGAGTGGGATGAGTTGGATCAAAGAGTAAGAGCAAGGTAGCCAACTAGTGCCCAGAACTTGTGGAAACACCTTCAGGACTGTTGGAGAAGCATTCCAGGTGGCTACATCTGGAATCTGGTTGAAAGAAAGTCAAGAGTCTGCAATGCTGTCATCAAAGCAAAAAGGGGCTATTTTGAAGAGTTTGAGAAAAACTTGAGATGTTGAACATTCTCTTGTTGCAGTATTTAATATGCATTGCTTCTTTGTTTCAAAGCCTTTTACTGTAAGATGAATAACAGGTAAAAGAGAGAGAGATGTGTCTGGACTATTCAGTGGTACAGTATGTAACAGATGACTAACTCAGTTACATACCATCCATCCATCTTTAGACTGCTTGTGCTGGATGAGGTCATGGGGACCTGAAACCTACTCCATGCTGCACAATGCTGGGGTAGAGACCCCAGATTGCATGCCAGTCCATCCCTGGGCACATGCAGTCATACCCTAATATGGGTGAACTTGAGATACCATTTAGTCTTACTGCGTGACTTTCGACTATGGCAGCAAAGCAGGACCCCCCCAAACCTGCAGATGTGAGGCATAAGTGCCCACAGATCCACTCTGCCTCCCTGCTTACATAGCAGTGCGCCTTTAAATCTACTCACATCATCAAGTTTTGCATGTGACTTAAGAGTCATCACAGTATGTGTAACTGGAGGACCAAAGGAGTGATAAAAAACCTAAACATAAAATGCTACGGAGCTAAAAAGGGCCCAAGTAGCAGCAGGATATTCACGCGCCACGTCTCAAATCTCACGGGCCGATCGCCACGCTATGCGTCAGCTTACAGTGCGTGATTTCGCAATCAAGTAAACAGCATCGTTATCAGCTTCAGTTCAATTTGCATTAAAATACATTTCTCCCAGATCTAGAAAATATAAAAACTGCGTGTTTAATTGCTGTTTTTCAGTTGCTTATAAATTAACCACACCTCCCACCACAAACACACACGCCATAATTCATGATTTGTAGCTCAACCCCTGTGACATGTAGATCACATACCATGCGTTGCACGCGAGACACTGAGAAGGCCTGTCACATTCTGCTGCATTCTGTTACAAATGCTCAGTGAGCATTAGTCAGACCTTGTAACTACAACATTACCACACATCTCCAGTATTTTGAGGACAATTCTTTAAAATATCGCAAACTGTGCTGGTCCACTTGGTATATGTCCAACAAATGTCATGGAGTTACCATGACATAAGAAACTAGGCTGGTTCTTTAAAATCTCTGTTCATAAAGCACGTTTAATATATTCATATAAAAAATCTGCTCCAAATTATAGGGAAAGATTATAAAACTGGAAAAAAATATTTTGGTGACTGTCTATATGCACATATTTGAACTACACCTAGAATATTCCAGAAATTACTGAAATGACCACACTTCTCATTCAGCTGTTAAAGGCGTACTGTAATTCAACTGAGAGCAGAGCTTCTGAGCTTGGAGTGAAGGCCTTACTTTCTTTTGAAAACCTTAACACAGTTCTTCATTCCTGGTGAAAAATAGCAGTGATTTTGTGGCTATTATAGCAAGGGAAGCCTTTAATCAGGTTGGCATTTTCATGCTCTTGAAAACGCAATACAGGAAGATTGACAAGAGACCTATGACCCCTAAAACTGACTGGGGCCAGCCTGGGGGGTTTATACAGAAGAGTTTTTCCTTGTTGGAAGTCATACAACCGGATCTATAAGGTTGTTAAACCTCAAACTGTTCAATGTTCATATACTTTCAATATCCAATAAATGTAATCATATTTAATACCATAATTTTATTTATATTAAATGGTCATATAAAATGAGCAGAGCAATTTTGATGTTTTCAATGTTAATCCAAAAGTAAAAACTCCATATACTGTAAACTACAAGAATAGTCACCAATATATTTAGTGTTTAGTAACATATGCTGTGTAACTGAAATATGCTAACAAGCTGGGCTAATTTTACTTAGATATTTTAGCACTGGTAAATAAAGTGCCAGACATTTCATAATGTTTTGGGGTTTTTTTACGTACAGGTAACTGCCTGAATCTGCAGAGCTCCTAAATATATCAAGATGTTAAAGGCATCAAAAGTGACTGACGCAAGTGCCTCAGGGCAGGGTAAGCACAATCAGAAACTGACCTCCTCTTTTGGTTTCTTTACCCTGTGAGAAAGTCTGTTATCAGTCAGCCTTTTAGGTTGCGATGCATGTGCCCCATTCTGCTGTGACTGTTAATTTAACATGACGAAAGTTAAATAGCTTTTTTCCACAGTAATTGTACTTTGCAACTGGCTGTATCAGTAATTTAATTTCACCTTCCACATCATAAATTGACTCAGTCTTAAATTATTGCATTTTGTTGATTTCTTCATCAAACAACACTATCAAGTTTTAAGAAAGCACAAAGCTCCAGTCACACTTAGACATTATGTAGAAAAAGTATCACAGAACTTTTCTTTTTGTGTTACTGGAAGGCTGTAACTTAAATGAAAGTCCCATATTAACTCATATTTGCAGGAAAAATACAAAACTGGAGGACATTTACATATTGAATAGGTGACATCAGACAATCATCATGGATTAAATGAGCTTATACCCTGCCGCGCTCATGAAGCCCACTGCGGACGCCAGCATAGCTATAAAAATGCTAACAGGCTAAGCTAGGTTGTTGGTCCACGGTCATATCAAGTCTTACATGTTCAATCCACATATTCATTCTCTATCTCCTGACTTCTACAGTGGCCATTAAAAAGCGATCCAGTGTCCCAGGGGTCATGATCACTCAGTTTGTGGAGGAACTTCCCAAGGGATCGAGCACGCCTGACTTTATCCGCAAACCGATTGCTTTGACGATCCAAGAAGGTAAATTTTCAAAAGCGTTTGCTAGTTTGAAAACACTTGAGCATGTGAAGATCTTAAGGGATTTATGTAAAATGATACAGAGGAGAGAATGTTTAAATATTGAAATTCTAAGTAACATCATCGATCCATCAGCTTCCCCTAGCACAGGGACGGTGTAGGACAGGGGTGTCAAACTCCATTCCTAGGGGGCCGGAGCTCTGTGTAGCTTAGCTCTTTCCCTGTTCACACACAAATGATTCAGCTCAGGGCTCCGGTCCTCCAGGACTGGAGTCTGACACCCCTGGTGTAGGAGATATAAGATGTAACACTTAGTTAGCATATTAGCACTGGCTAATAGGCATCAAAAACCAAGATATCGTTATTGGTCCGATGCAGCAATCATGGCTTATATTCCTGGGGGGGATTTCATGGAGTCTGATAATTTGGGACAAGTTGTGCCCCCTACTGGTTCTAAATGGAACACAGCATTTTATTTCATGATACAGGACGATCCCATGAAATACGAGATGGCTGGCAACTCATGGCTGGCTTAGAAGAGGTCTCACAGTACCGCCCATATGTGATTTATAAAACGTATTGTGCAAGATTTCAGGTTTTATTTTGATACATCAATTCCATCGCTTACAGGAGATTCTGCTACAGGCCACAAGGTTGAGAGGGTGCCGTTCTTTTATATAATATGCTATCTGTATGTTCTTCGATTAAAAAACAGCCAACAGCCTTTCAACTGCTTATCTAGTACAGGGTCACTGAAATGAATACATGGCAGGGACACAGTAGTTGGGACGCCTGTCCGTTGCACGGCTCACCCACACACATATTATGAGAAATTCAGAGACATGACTGTCCCCATATCATTACAACCATTAGGTTAGCAGTATGAGGCAACAGTGCTAACTAATGCATCCAAGCCAAAGTGCTACCCTTACAACAAAACAATGTTGACATATTTTAAGGTAAACTGGCCGTCTTCAAGGCAATTGTGACAGGGATTCCAACGCCAACGGTCACATGGGCAAGAAACAATGGAGATATCAGCGATCCGGAGAGATATCAGATGAAACACTGTTCCATTTCTGGTGAACACACACTAGAGGTAAATGCAACCTGTTTGAAATGTGCATATCAAACCATATCACTAAAACTGCAGGTGTAATCTTGTTCTTCAGTTTCTGGTACCTTGATAATTTTTTTGAGCAGCCGTTCCTCTTTGAATCTCTTATCCTGGCCAGGGTTGTTAAGATGCCTCCCCAACAGAGCAGGGATGCATCTAGGATGTGATACACTTCCTTTTCTAAAAGGGGCAATTCACCCCAAAACTGGAAAAAAAAAAAAACATTTTAGGGGGCTTTAGTGCTATTTATCCAATTGTATTAATACGCCGAATACCACCGCGAGCAGCCCAGCAATACCTTCTATACATTGATATGATTGGTGCAGAGATCAGTAGAAGAAAATAGTTCCTACATTAAACTGCTCACCTCAAAGTCTGTGAATTATCTTGAGGAGCCAGGTCATGATTTCAGGTAAGAGACATTGCTGCTGAATTTTTCATATGTATTTTTGGTGCTTTCATCACCACAGAAAGAATGCAATTCACTCCCTTTATATTTGAGAGAAGACCAACATTTCTATGCCTGAGATCTCCAAAAGTAGGCAACTCCCAGCAGAACAATTTACACGGCTAGATAACTCTCAAGTCCTCCAAAACATACCTTATTTCAATTTTCGGATGAACTGCCCCTTTAATTAAATATAAAGCTAAATAACTAACTCAAACATATTGCTGAGCATTGCGACATCAAAGCCTAACATGATCAGTCGATTATATTGCTAGCATTTCATAAGCATAAGAGGAAGCAGACGAACAATGCAAAGGAAAATGAAGTGAAATTCTACTCTCCCTCTGCAGATGCCCAACGTATCAGCATTGGAAGAAGACGTCTACAAATGCTTTGCCTGTAATGAGTTTGGAAAGGCTGTTGTCACGGCGACTCTAAATGTCATTGAAGGTAATGAAGAAATGAGAGTCACTGACCAAGGATCATACTGCAGAGGCAAATAGAAGCAAACTGGAATAATGTTACTGCTGCAAAATCATGTATCAATGATACATATTACTGAATGAGAAATGCATATACTGTAGATCTATCCAATACGCTGCAGGGAACAAAGACTCTGTAGATGACACAGAGACACCGATTAATCTGTTTTCAAATATTTAAATTATTTTATGCAATCAATGATAAGATATTTTCATGTGCATTTTCTTTCAGTTGGATTCAACAAGAGTAAGGCACTGCAGCAATCAAGAGCTGGTCAGTACACAATAGGCCAGACAGACATACATACATAACAACCATATTATGCATTAGAAACTGAAAGTGATTCCTACAAATTGTTGTATTTCTCAGCTTTAAGAGAGAAAACACTGGATTTCAAAAACCTCTTGAAAACCCGGTAAGGAGGGCTATTGCTGGGGGAACCACTACTCTGATATAAAGACTCTTTGTAGCTGATGTCTTTGCCTGGCCTGATGTTGAAGCAATTACCCGTAACGATAAGTGTCAGACATGTGAGCAGTTATTCACTGGAGAAGTGTCTGAGAATGGATGGATGGATGGATGGTGTCATTGCAAAATTACCATTTACATGGCTGACTGCCATATGTCATTTACCTACAGTGACAGCTCACAATGTTAGTCTTCATTACTATGAATATTGCAAATAATGCATTACCTATGTCTATATCTGAGATATAGATCTTAAAAAAATCTTAAACTACTTGGAAGTTAGTAGGTGGCAGATGTCATTTCAAGGTTTTTTTTTTAAATAAATATTTAAATTAAATATTATAATGGGTGGGAGAGCAGGAAGAACTGGAGAGATGTAACTTCAAACTTTCTGCTTTTTTTCTAGTACTGAACGCGAGAAACCAGAAAGAAAACAGGGAGAGCCGGATGAAAAGGTCTGGGAAATTTTACTGAGCGCAGACAAGAAAGACTACGAACGTATCTGTATGGAATACGGCATTACGGACTTCCGGGGGATGCTGAAGAGGCTGAATGAGCTGAAGAGGGAGAGGGAGGAGGAGCAGGCCCAGGTATGGAAGCTGCTCGTGGTCTTTCCTTAAATGATTTACTTACAACCAATAGGTTTTGACTGAAAATTTCCTGGGAGAGACTATGAATTCACAATAGCACTGAAAGGAAGGAGGAGTGACAGACAGAGGGTGGGGGGGGCGGGGGGAGAGATCATAAAATACTACTTCTAACCCTTGTTTCTTGGTTTCCTTCTCATCGATCACTTCCTCTGCTAACCTGGGACCGGCCCCCTGCAGTTTGTTGAGCACCTGAGCAACCTAAAACATATTGAAGTAAAAGCTAATGGCTGTGCAGAGTTTGAAATAACGATGGACATGAAGGACCAAAACAGTCGGATGTTCTTATATAAGGTGACAGATTCTGTATACGATATACATTACAATTTGCTATATAACCGCTTCAATCTTATTGTGGCATTATAATATGACATCGCGTCAATGGCAGGGTAAAAGCAGCACTAAGGCAAGCTCATTTTCAGATGTTTGTGTGCTGTGCTGTAATATAACGGTTTGTCACATTCTTTAGAATGGAGAGATGATCGAGTTCAGCGATGACACAAGCTCGAAACACAGTCTAAAAAAAGTGGGAAAGAAGTATGTGTTCAGTGTTAAAGATCTTGACCCAGATGATGCTGGCTTGTACCAGGTGGATGTTGAGGGTGTCAATATATTTTCAACCGAATTCAAAGGTGAGATCAATAACAACCTACATACCTTAGTTTACACAATTACTTGAATGATATTCCACAGGGAGCCTTACATTTCCTTCAAACCTTTTGTGCACAAACATACAAACCCTATTGTCTATCAAATTTACAAATTGTATGTAATCTCAAGATTAAAATGACTTACTGTAGTACTATATCTACTATTCGGTAACATGCCCTATGTTATTCTTTCAGCACCCCCGGTGGAATTCCGGGTTAAAATTCAGGAAGTAACGGCCACGGAGAGAGAGGATGCTGTGTTTGAATGTCTTTTATCCCAACCATTTCCAAAGATAGCATGGGTAGGAAAGAATGTAACACTGCAATCAGGGGATAAGTATGACATCACTGTGTCTGAGGACATGCTCATCCACAGACTAGTGGTGAAGGACTGCATGCAGGTGGACAAAGGGATCTATGCAGCCATTGCTGGCATCAAATCCTGCAATGCTTGGCTTATAGTTGAAGGTAAGCTAAAACATCAAAACCTCCCTCAAAACGTCCATCATTCCTAACAGACTAGTGGCCTAATTTTTACCCAAGACTATGTTGAAATGTCTGCTGAATTCATCCTTTGTCAGCACGCGTGCATGATTTTCTTTGTAAGTATGCAAGTCGAGTGAAGTTCTGTTCTTGATATCTTTGCTATCTGTTAATCGCATTGCGGATTCAGCGGATAAGGATGCAGGCACAGGAAAAAAGAAAGCCCGAAAGTCAACCCAAGCCGGAGGCGCTGGCGTTGACCTGGAGAAGATGGCCAGGGAGCAGCAGGCCAAGCTGCAAATGGGGAGAGAAGAGATCTTAGGGTCACTGCAAAAGGCCAGAGAGGAGAAGGATGCATCTGCTCAGGAAGGTGAAGGCAAAGGCGATGGGGTGGTCGGTTTGGCTGGGCGTAAGGAGTCCATGGAGAAAACTTCATCACCTTCAGCTCCAACAGGACAAACAGGGCAAACAGGGAAATTAGGACAAAGTGGAGAAACTGGACAAAGTGGAGAAACAGGACAAACTGGAAAAACTGGACAAAGTGGAGAAACAGGACAAACTGGAAAAACAGGACAAAGTGGAGAAACAGGACAAACTGGGAAAACAGGACAAAGTGGAGAAACAGGACAAACTGGAAAAACAGGACAAAGTGGAGAAAAAGGACAAAGAGATTCTTCATCGCTTATAAGTCAAAGTCAACCATCTTCAGCTCTAGAAGGCCAGATTCAAGTCGCTGCTGTGAAGGAGCCTAGTGGCATCACTTCTCCTGCTTGTGAAGCTGATGTTGTTGATAAGTCTGCTGGGAATAAGCAGGACACAGAAACCACTGGGGGGGAGCCTGCGGACGCAGTCGGGGCTGAGCTTGATGCAGAGACACCACTCAGCCAAAGTACGCGGCGTAGCAGAGCGGGTCCACTTGTTCCAGAGACACTCATTGGTATGTAATCCAGAAACAGCTAGAATTATAACTAACAATTATTTAATGGATGTTAAGTGATTAAGGCCATGAAAAGGTGACTCCATCTGTTCCATCTGTGACTCATTATTTAACAATTTCAGCATTTCATTATTTCACAGGATCAATTTGCAAACCAGAGCCAAGAAGTACAGTAATGAGGGTTAATGTCTTTCATTCTACAGAAAAAGGAGTTCAGTTCATCTGTGGTCTGTCAGACGTCAGTGCCATTCTAGGCCAGTCTGCAGAGATGGTCTGTAAGCTGAGCAATGAAAACTGCGACGGTGTCTGGTACAAAGACGGAAAACAGGTGAATAATTCCAGACAGGTCACATGTACACAGATTTTACTCAATCACACTATTATATTGCTATTGTTAACTTAATAATAATAATGATAATAATAATAATAATAAGTGATTATAATTAACAATTTATCAGGCTAATAATGATGGATTGGAATGAAAACTTGTAAATATGTGCAGTTTGCCAACTCTTATTCAGACATTATTAACATAGATGCTGCTGTATAGAGTGGAAGGTATGTTTGATGAAACCTTCTTTCTATGACTTTCTGTGCCTCATTAGTTGACGTCCGATGATGCCATGACCATTACTAAGGAAAAGGCCTGGCACAAGCTGACAATAAAGGACTGCCAGGAGAAATACAACGGCAAATACCGCTTTGAAGCAGACGGACATAAGACAGAAGCACAGCTTGTTGTAAAAGGTTCCAAGCCGAAATCCACAAAAGATATTCAAATAATCAATACTCCTTATTTCTAAACTGAAAATGACCTTAAAATAGAGGCGCAAAAATGGATCGATGCATTATGATAAATCAAGTAGCATTCGATGCATCAAATGTCAGAATCGATTTTGGGGGGGATTTAAAGATACCCCTACTTCTGGATGGTGTGCTGTCATGCTAACATACTGCAGGTAGACCAGCAAAGCCTCAGCGCCAGCACACACATTTCCGAAACGTCTGCGTCAAATGAAGCCTCAGTAATAATCCTAAAGCAATATTGCTAAAGGAAGTGATACCTGATGACCTTTGAGCTACAATGCTTTTGGAAAACACACCCAGCACACAACATTTTCTCTAATGGTCAAGATAAACTGTGCAGTACCATGCTTGTGAGAAACATTACCTTGTTTGCTAGCTATGGTAGGACTGGTTAAGACTCTGAGGTAGCAAACTAGCTAGCTAAGTAAATCGTAATATTAGCCGTTATACTGTATAATGGTTAACACATCAGTTTCGGCCATTATTCATCAAATATACCGGCATGAATCCTATGTGTCAGACTTACCTGATACTGCTGACCAATGTCTCAACTCTATAGTTATAAAGTTAGCACTAGAGCTAAAGACAGAAGTACTAAAATAAATTAGATGGTTGCATTGGACAATCAGCCATTTTCTGTAGTGGAGGACAACAGATTTCATTGAGTCATTAACCATTTAGAAGAGGTCACAAAGTACTGTCCTGCGACATGCTTGTAATTCATCATTCAATCTGACCCACAAATTGATCTTTAACTTCTCACGGGACAATAAAATGATGTAACATCATTCTGCTAATCTGTGCCGAGAAGCTAGACAAGTTTAACCCCCAGCATGCCCTCCCCCAATAACGCATCACTTCCTTTATGTGTTTATATGTTTTTTCTGTATAGTTCAGTAGTTAGCCTTTTGACAATTCGCACTTGCTTGGTCTCCCTATTTAATAGTAACAATAAAGATTAACATTCTGAAATTCTATTCTTTTATTGCATTAAGAGCACGTAATTAAGCTCCCATGTTAACATTTGTGATATTTTTTTCAGTGAAGTTAAAAAAAAGGCTTGAATTTTGGAAATCAAGATAATCGAATAATCAATTAATCAAATGGAACAATACATCAAATCATTCCCTTAATAATCACAATCAAATTGAATGGCCTTGTGGCCAATGATTTCATTTTGTAATTACATTTTGTGAAATTTTGTTAAAAATGTTTCAACTGATGCTAGATATTTACAGTGTAAAGAGGAAAAACAGTGTGGAGTCTGGCATTACTCTGTATGTAATGGAAAGTCTGCGATTAGTTAATCTACACTGTAGATACAGATCAGGACTCTTTAAAAATGTAAAGTTTTGCCAATTACCTGGCTTGTTTATGTTCCAGACCCACCCAGATTTGACCTGGATGAACTGGGTAACTTCTCAGAGCCAGTAGTTATAAAAGTTGGCCAAAATGCAACCTTCAAGATTGCTTTTGTGGGCCGGGAACCAATGAAGGTGCAGTGGTATAAAGATGGCGAAGAACTTGTGGATGATACCAGCATCAAGGTGGAAAAGGCTTCCGATCACAGCCGCCTACTACTCGGAAGGTGCCAACGTAAGGACTCTGGAGAAATCAAGATCAAGGTCAGAAACGAGTTTGGAACGGCTGAGGCTTGCACCAGTCTCATTGTTCTGGGTATGTTTCGTGATGAAACTACATTGTCATCTCATAACTGAATAACTGCAACCTAACAAGTCCATAATGAAGACGTCTTACTCAGAATTCCACATGTCCCTTGTCAGACAAACCGAAACCACCTCAAGCTCCAGTGGAGATAATTGAAAGTTCGGCGAAATGCATTGAAATCAAATGGAGGCATCCGAAGGACGACGGCGGATCTCCAGTGACTAACTACGTCTTGGAACGGCAGCAGTTGGGACGCAACTCCTGGAAAAAGCTTGGGGAGATACCGGCAAAACCGACGTACAGAGACACTGATGTGACCCACGGGAGGAAATACTGCTACCGTATCTGTGCCCAGACAGCAGAAGGTGTCAGTGACATGTTAGAGACTGACGACATCATGGCTGGGAACAAGGGTGAGCTGCAGTCTTGTGTGCGACTAATTCTGACTTTAGTATATAAGGTACTGTACTGTATATGCAGTCCAGTTGTTTATCAGGATTTGTTTTTTGACCATTAGAGTCTTGTTAAATAAAGCTACATATACAATTCTTGTTAAGGAAGAAAAGAATATATCCTTATTTTAAAATACAGATGACTATGCACTTGTAGTGGGCGATATGATGATGTTTTATCGTAACCAGTTGTAGCTGTATCCGTAATACATATTTCAGGTGATACAGCAATACATTTACATTTACTTTTATTTAGGAAATGCTTTTGTCCAAAGCGACGTACAAATAAGGCAAATAGCACATTACAAATGTGCTGTCAAGGACTCGACTAGGCATAAGTGCAGCTGAGTTTCCAATGAATGCTCAGTCACAATTACACTACTTAACACTATTTTTATGATGACAGAACAAACCCGCAAGCACCTATCACGTTGGAGGCTACAACATTACAACAACAAAAATAGACTTATGTGAAACAAAGCAATTTCTCCTGCAAAACATCTCAGCATTGTCTGTATATCTCAGTTCTTTGTGAGTTATCTGTCTGAGTACCTATACATCTCAGCTTAGTGAGTAGATCTTGAACTGAAAACTTAACTGATCTTTTTTTAACCAGATAGCTAACCTGGTAGAAAAAAAAAAATTATAAAATTGGACTGCTAAAAATATTGTACTTGTGTCACGTGGTGAACATCACATGGTTCATAGATAGCTCGGGTACGCCGTCAAGCAAACAGAGTGCAGCATGGTTGATGATGAACAACTGGTTATAAAACGGATCTACTTTGATTGTGTGGAAATGGCTTGCATTTGCAAAACCTGACATGGGCCAATCTACAGTAATTTGAAAATCTTTGCAAAGATACAATTCATACAACAGGTGGCAACATAACCAATCTTTTTAACCACCTGAAACATTAGCACTCCAAACACGCAGAGTGTCTATTGCAAACTGTTTTAGCGTTGATCCATTTCTAGAGGATATCACAAATTCAGTTCTAATTAGTCAGAATGCAAATTCTTAATATCAGAAATTCAGCTCTAAGTAGTTATAATGCCAGTTCTTGATACTGGAAATTATTTAGCTAGTGAGATTCAAAACGTTTATTTTTTCTCATTCATTTCAATGGCAATTGGAAGTTGAACTATTCAAAATTCCCATTTCTGATATCAGGAATTCAAATGTACTGTAACTAGCTATAGCTAGTTATAGCTGTTAGTTATTGATTTGTTTTTCGTATGTTTTAGCATATCCTGGGCCACCAGCTGCACCCGAAGTAGTCAGCGCTTTTAAGGACTGCATCAATCTCTCCTGGGCTCCCCCTGCCAACACCGGAGATAGCAGCATTTTGGGTTACAACCTGGAGAAACGCAAGAAAGGCAGCAACCTGTGGACCCAGGTTAACTCTGGAGGAGAGCCAATTCAAGGTCTGACCTTCTCATGGTCTACAAACTGGATGCAACCTAAGCTGATCACTTATATTTTCTTCTGTTACTTTATACGTGTTTTTTGTTTCAGTTAAAACTCAGCAATGCATTCTCAAACCATTCACAAGTTTCATTTTAGGGTTCATAACTCTTATTATATAGAAATATTTTTCTGTTTGTGAGAGATCAATTGTTACCTACCAGAATGACAATGGCAAATGAATATTAATATGCCAAAAGTGATTGCAAATACTATTTGTACTTTATTTTCTCACAGCAAAAAAATATGCAGTAAAAGATGTTGTAGAAGGATTGGAGTATGAATTCCATGTCGCTGCAATCAACATGTCTGGAACAGGAGAACCAAGTTCTCCATCTGAGTTTGTATTTGCCAGGGACCCCATTAGTAAGTATAAAGACAATGAAGATGTAAAATGCCATTTGTTTTTTTTTTTTCAAGAATAACTATTATAACTTCAAAAACCCTCATATCAAGTATTTTGTGGTTAATTCTTTGAAATATTTGCTAGCCAGAGGTGGGTAACTGAGGTCCAGAGAGTAAAAGTCCAGACCAAGATTTGGTTCAACCAACCAGTTGACTACAAACAGTCACAGAGTATTCAACTGGTTGGTTGAAACAAAATTTTGGTCTGGACTTTTACTCTCTGGACCTGAAGTACCCACCTCTGTTGCTAGCTTTGAGTGTACAACCCCTTAATCACTTTTACTCGTCTCTCTTCAGAGCCCCCTGGTAAAGTTGTTGACATAAAAGTCACTGATTCGACATACAACACCTTATCGCTGGCATGGACGAGGCCGCCAGTGGTAGCAAAGGTCCACGGGGAAGCCAAGGGGTACTTTGTGGAGATTCGTCCAGCAGAGAGTATCGAGTGGACCCGCTGTAAAAGCAGTCCTGTCACTATGACATCATTTGTGGTGATTGGCCTGAGGTCCATGGCCATGTACTGGGTGAGGGTGATTGCCACCAACGAGGGGGGGTCGGGCGAGCCCCAAGAACTGGACAACTACATCCTGGCCATGCCCCCACCCGGTAAACAGCAAACACAGCCAAAACCTTTTCATATATTCCTATATATAACAATGTATATTTAATAGAACACAGGTCACTACATAAAATGCCCCCCCCCCAAAAAAAAAAAGATATATATATATGGGTTTCACTTGTAACAGTGATGATATGAGTATGTGAGGAGGACGGTAAACAAGCAAATAAATGTAAGCGACCCAAATGACTGTTTAAACCCTGTAATTGTTTTTTAGTAAAGCCACGGTTTACAGATGCCAAAATGAAGAACTTTATTGTGATCAGGGAAGGGAATTCCGCACGAGTAACTATAAACTTTGAGGTGAGTAGGTGATCTGTTTTAATATTTTTTTTCTGTGGCAGAAAACACCTTTGTGCTGGGTGTTGTGATGCTTTGTGTGAAGCAGGTTAGACCTGTGACCGGAAGGTGACCAGATTAAATCCCGTGCTCGACAGCGATCTTACTGATGGGCACTTCAGAAAGGCCCCTAACCCCCGTTGCTCTAGGGACACTACCTGACCTTGCTAAATGATCCATGCTTGCACTTCATTCTGAACAAAAAGCATCTAAGTACGTCTAACGCCGAACTACACTGAAGTTAAGTCTGACTGTAATGTTATTACTGTGGTTTCAATGTACAATATTGACACACAAAAACATGCATGGAAAAGTCTCTGTGTTTACCAAGCCTCCTGCAAACTGCTTCTGGCCCTTACTTGTCAATTGAGTACAATGTGCTGCTGTTTGCAGGCCTCCCCTTTGCCAGATATAATGTGGATGAAGGACGGCATGCCGCTGGCCAAACGGGTGACGGTGACCAACGCAGAGGGGGCGTCCCAGCTCCTCATCCCCTCCTCAGAGCGCTCCGACACTGGGGTGTACACCATCATAGTCAAGAATCTGGTCGGCCAGGAGACGTGCAGCGTCGAGCTAAGAGTGACCGGTAACAGACAGAGCCTAGCAGCTACGACAACATTAACAAATTTTAAATAGACAGAAGACAATTAATGCTGGTAACACTTCCTATGAATGCCAGGTTCATAAGAATCTAAGAACACATTCATAACACAATATAAAGCATTTATAATACATAACATACATGGCTACAAATATTTATAAAAAGACATAAATTTCATAAATTTTCCGGAGGAAACTTCCAGAGGGATTAATAAAGTACTATCTAATCTAATCTAATCTAATCTAATCTAATCTAATAAAACATTATAGCCATATTTATTATGCATTATGAATGCTTTATGAAGGTCTCATCTATAATGCACTATACAGACACCAACCTGTAAGTGTAAGTACAGAATGTGGAATATCTTCAGAAATGAACCAATAATGACTGTCAATTGAAAATGCTGTAATGCTTGATTAGTTCTTATACTGACCGTCATAATGCATTATAAGCATAGGGATGTATAATGCATTATTCATGACATCTTCATGTAACGTGCTACTGTAGCTGAGCATATTATTTTCTCTATATGGTACTTCATATTCCATCCATCCAATCACTTATCCAGTACATGGCCACAGGAGCGGCAAGGAGGAGAATAAGGCATAAGACATTGGCACACATTCAGACTGATCCCAGTCCACTGCAGGGCATGCACCCCCGCACGCTCCTGCGTGCCAACATCCATTAATCCATTTAAATCTCTATCTCCTATTTTATCTTCCACAAAGCTATACAAAATCCTATAACTGAAAAGAGCATAAACTGTATCGTAATCGAGATATATATAATATGCCCCATCTCAATATCTATGAGGGATTTTCATGTGACAAATTATACATAAAGCTATTATCTGATGTGTGAGTGACGAAACCTTTTCTGGTGTATAGACCTCTTGACTAAGATATGTAATCTTCACATTATTAATAACTTAATCTGTACTCAATCTTNAGCTGAGCATATTATTTTCTCTATATGGTACTTCATATTCCATCCATCCAATCACTTATCCAGTACATGGCCACAGGAGTGGCAAGGAGGAGAATAAGGCATAAGACATTGGCACACATTCAGACTGATCCCAGTCCACTCCAGGGCGTGCACCCCCGCACACTCCTGCGTGCCAACATCCAACCCAATGATGCACGAGTGGTATGACCCTACACTTTTCCATAAGTGGGTCATGTTTGACCCACTTATAAAAATCAATTTGTTTTATGCCATTTTTGTCATTTTGGTTATGAATAATGAATTGTAACATAGTCTGTATTATATTTTGGACCACACAAGAATGATTTCATGTTTGAAATTTTATTTTTTACTTTGTAACACATTTTGATAATTAAAAATTTAATATTACACAGAACAGCAATAGAAGAATGTCAACATTCATTATGTGTTTGTGTGTAAATGTCCAGTCATGGACATCTCTTTTCTATTCTCTTGCAGGTAAGTGCCTGTGTTTGCTGAAGCTTTTGATGCGATGGTCCCTGTTTTGCCTTCTTGTCTGCAGTTGTGACAGACTACCTGCTTCTGGCTGTGATCATTGCACATAGGGACATTGCACTTCCCACACCTATTGCTGACTTTGTAATCTTTGTTTCTTGGGCAGATCTGACACATCTTTCTCTTCGATTGGCCCTGTCTGCTTCTTTCCTATGGCTGGGTTGTGGCTTTTGTCACCCCACACCTTCCCATTGCTTTAATGATCGGAGCTTGCAGTTGTGGGCAGCCTTCCAGTCAACTCCTCATGTGTCTTTTGAATTTAATTCAATTAGAATTTAGTGATTAATTGCCATTGTTGACACACCTCAGCACACAACAATGCAATGCGTTCAACCCATACAGTATGTGACAATGTGACGTAGCAGGGGACAGCTAATTCAGCGCCTTGGGAGCAGTGCTTGGGGCGGTACCTTGCTCAAGGTATCTCAGTAGTGCGTTGCTGGTCGGGGATTCGAACTTGCAATCTTTCAATTATAAGTGCACTTCCCTAACCATTGAACCACCACTGCTCTTTGTGGAAGAGTCGTCATACATTGGTGATACCTCTGTTGAATTCAGGGTGCTGAGTCGTGAAAAAGGTATAGGAATTTAGGGTGGCGATGTCAAGGATGTTGTAGCACAGCACCATGGGCCACCTCTGTGTTTGTCGCTTGCAGGTGTAGGTGCCAACCATCTGGTCTATGGTGTCAACACCTCCTTTTGTCTTGTTGTAGAATGTGATGGTAAATGGTAAATGAACTGCATTTATATAGCGCTTTTCTACTCCTACGAGTACTTTACAATTTATGCCTCACGTTCACCCATCCACACACACATCTACACACAGTTGATCACTTCTGTTTTTTTCTTTCTGCTGTTTTCATCCACTGTATTATCGTGGTGCATCGTGCTCAGGAGGACAACAGCCATTCCTTCCTTTCTGACATAGCTGGCCATGGTAATGCTGGCATTGAATCCAAACTCTGTCCCTGGACTTGGAAGCCTTCATCAGAGGGGATGTCTGGCTTGTTCTGTCTTAGAGTCCCCACAATAGTGAGATCCATTTCCAGGCACACTGGTGAAAAAGTTATGTTTGGTGTGGCAACCTGAGCTTCTGAATCTACTGCACAACTGCCGGACAATGTTTTCCCCCAGATTCTTCTGAACTTCTTCCCCTGGTTGACTACCTGTGTAAACAATCCCATCTACTGCGTATGGGATGTATGCATCAGGTCATGCTGTGTCAAATATTCTTCCTGTTCGGTGACACTTCTGACACATGGTGTGTGGTCCATAGTAAATAAATCCCTGACAGCCACAATTGATAAGAAACACAGGTTCCCATGAAACTGTATGGGAAATGCATGTGGGTCATGTTTGACCCACTTATGGAAGCTTGGGGTAGTAATACAAATATTACAATTTCTTAAAAAGTATAACAGGTAACTTAAATTTTTTTATGGAATGATATAAAAAACATGTTATTTGAGGAATACCTGGAATATGAAACGATAAAAACTTTTCATTACAAAGATATTGCAAGAAAACGACCTCACTGGGTCATTTTTGACCCACTTGTGCATCCTAGGGTTCCATTAAAATCACTATCTCCTATTTTATCTTCCACAAAGCTATACTTTTTTTTTTTTTAAAGAAATTATGATTATTATAGTGGTTCAAATTATGATTATTCTATATATATATTATTCCGATGTGTGAGTGACGAAACCTTTTCTGGTGTATAGACCTCTTGACTAAGATATGTAATCTTCACATTATTAATAACTTAATCTGTACTCAATCTTATACAACATATATATATATAACACATTCAGTGAACATTATCACTCGTGTAGTTTGTTATACTTAACAAAGGAGGTAGTAGAGGTGCAGCAGCAGTATTGAGTCTTGGATACACACATTGTGAACATCTCTTCTTTCACCTACATAAGTCTATATGCCTCGGGTTGCTTGCATGTCGATAAATGTGCACGTATTTCTCTCATATACTTAACAGCAATTATAGTGTATCTTACATCCATGAATAACTGACAAAGGATAGAACTGTCTTGAGACCGTCAAGCCAGATTTCATATGGAGCGCATACGATTCCAAATAGCTCAATCTCACGTTGTACCAATTCTGCATTGGTCAAAGGTGGTAGTCGTGGGGCGAATGAATCCCATGCTCTAAAGTAAGCTGACACTATTTCTGAATTGGTCAAGTTGGGAAGCTGTTTGACTAGAAGATGGTCGAAATGGAAGATAAGGCTCTTAAGCATTAACAACTGTCTCGCATAGTGAATGATTGTTGCAGCGTATTGTATATCCGCTGATTCCAATTGTTGTCAGGCATATTGATTGATAGAGGTGAGCTCACGAATTATACGATGTGCAAGTTGTTTCAATGACGTAGTTTCCCGTGCCAATTGACGAACGTTTATTGGTAAGCCGCACAAGCTGGATATTCGCTGTGAGTATCCATCTTGGAGGTATTGCTTGTATCGTCGAAGGAACACTGGAACGACATCCAGTCCGGACACAATCCTGGAGCTAGAGAACATAAGTACATTTCGGCTATCATTGTGGGATACTCATCACGGAAACCCATCTTGATTGAGGTTAACAGTGGTCTAATCTTCTCCCAAATCAATGTATTCCGATACCAAAATGCGATGTCATTCAAGTATTCACCAGCGTCCTCATCATCGTAATATGAAAGCCAGGTGAATTGAATGGGCACATTGATCATCTATATTATGTCGGACAGCAGCTTCACCCAAATAGCGAGACGCCACCTGTGCATTATCATAGCATAAGGGTGGGACATACTCTGTCAAGTCCTGTATTGCTATTATCAACTCTGTTAGGCGACCAGCTCGCTTGATGGATTCTACCTCAGAGTACTATGGCAGTTCCGTAGGATTAATCAGCCATAGCTTATGTAATAATCGGTGTCTCTCAGATAGTGGAGCAATCCTAGTGACTTTCAGTTGTATGTAAGACAAAAGGCACACGGCAAGAATCTGTGGTGGGATATGTCGAATTTCCCTTTCATGAACTAACACTTGACCACCGGCAGGTATCCAGGAACTCATCTGTTGGAGAGTTTCGGTATTCTGCGGAGGAGCAGACATCCTTTCCTGGACTCTGTGTGAATACGCTCCACATTGATCAATCAGTTTCTGCACTATCGCAGCAGCAGCCATCTCTAAAGACAACTCCCTATCACTGAATGTCGTGGGTTGACGTTTGAAATCCTCTTCAGCGGCCTGTCGCAATACTCTAACCGATGCTGTGGACAATTTGGCACATGCGAGAATACCAGTACGACGGGCCGGAAACCTGGCTGCGTCAATGAGGACAGGAGGCTCCTTGATCGGCCTCATGCAATATTTGCACTCAGTTATTAAAACCCACATGACACCCCCTACCTCAGCACGTCCTGATACCTGTGTTGGCAGCTGCATCTGTAAGACGGCCCAACACTAGACTTGGAGAAAGTTGAGTGTGTGATAGTCAGTAGTACTGCGCAGCGTGGCATGTGTGTTCAAATCGCCAGAGATCCATAAATATGTATTGTATAAGCTATTTGGCATTATGTGTTACATTACATATACAAAACTATACATTTTTTAAGTAAGAAATTCTTCTGTTCCGCCCCTTGATTTAGATGACCCTAAACCACCCGGCACAGTGGAGGTTCAGCAGAATGTCCCTGGAACACTGACTGTGTCCTGGGCACCATCTCCAGATGAGAAGCGTGACGACCGGCTGCACTACATGGTGTCTGAGCACGACTCCAGCAAGCGGACCTGGCAGACAGTGGGCGACCGGATCTTCAACAACAGCTACACAGCTGTCAACATCCTGCCTGGACGAGAGTACAGCTTCCGCGTCTACGCCAAAAATGACATGGGCATCTCGGAAGCTTCTGTGTCAGCTAAGTGGGCAATTACCAAGAAAAAGGGTTTGTCAAATGATTTAACAAATCTAAGTGGAAGTGTATCAAATCTGATTCAGAATAGAATTATAAGAAGAAATGAAATTGCATTTTTACAGAAGAGGATTAGGGCCACCATGAAAATATTATCTGAATTCTGACTTTTTTCTCAGAATTCTGACATTAAAGTCAGAATTCAAATAATATTTTTATGGTGGCCCTAATCCTCTTCCGTACATTTTACTAGCTGTTCAATGGGAAATAGGAGAAAAAAACAGCATTTTTCTGACCTTCACAGTTTTCTGTCCAGTGAAAATTCTTTAGGTAGTTTGCACTTATATACTGATTTCAAACTAAGTGTTAAAAAATATTTAACTTGATTTGGGAGATTTCAGAATTATGTGTCATCTTTATTGCTACAATAATTAACATGACAGGAAGTAAATTGACAGACTCAGAACTAAGCCCTGGAGAACCACATACCAGACCATTGTAAATTCCAGCGATAACTTACTCAAGTGGTTTGACAAACCAGTAAAGTACCTGTTTCTATAGTTAAACTGTATTTTTTTGGTTGTCTGAGAAAAAATGGAGATATATCATGTCAAAAACAGCACTAGTCTAGAAACATTACCTCAAGTAGACAATGGAATGAAGAAATTCAGTTTATAGTCTGCAATTCTTACAGTATATCCTTGCAGTTGGTTTCTTATAATGGAAACATATAATAACTGATTCACTTTTATTTAATTAAAAAAGGAACTTGCTTTTAGTTTAGGCAAACCATAACCCTTTCTGATATTTAAAAAGTTTCTTATCCTTGCTGTGTTATTCTGTCCAGGTATTTGCTGTACCTCTGAAAACATGAAGACCTTTTCTCTTCTTATTTTCTTGTTCTTCAGATAAGTTTGTACTGAACATGCCCGAGGCAGAAAGCTATAACTTCCAGACTCCACCCAAGTTTCTGGTGCAGCTGAAGATGCATTCGGCTCCCCAAGGCTACGAATGCTACATGAGCTGCGCAGTGAGGGGTAACCCGGAACCTCGCATCACGTGGTACCGCAACAACGTGAGCCTTAGCACCGACCCCGACTACCACATCACCAACACCTGCGGCGTCTGCTCCCTGCTGATCCTCCGGGTCGGCCCTAAGAGCAGTGGGGAGTACAAGGTCATGGCGGAGAACAGGCTCGGTCGGGCCGAGAGCTCCACCACGCTCACCATGAGAGGTACTGGCTTTAACTCATACTACATATTTTATCCATCCATCCATCCATCCATCCACCAACACTTATCCAATACAGGTCCTGTTTCAGGAAACATTGGGCAAGTGGCAGGAGTACATCTTGGCCTGGAATCTCTCACAGGTCACACACTCACAGCCATATACTATGGGCAATTTAGAGGTGCCAATTTGTATATATTAATTTCCTGATTGATATTTCTAAAACAGAGTAACAACTCTGCAGCTTAACACCCCCAGGACTGGGGGCTCAATTCCCACCCTCGCCTATGTGTGTGTGGAGTTTACATGGTCTCCCTCTCTTTGTAAGGATTTCCCCGGGTACTCTGGGCCCCTCCTACAATCCAGAAGCAGTTAGATGTTTCCAAATTTCCCAAAGTGTGTGATTGTTGGTGTGTGTTCACCCTGTGATGAACTGGAATCCCATCCAGGGTGTCCCTTGCCTGGTAGCCTTGTACTGGAAGATACCACAGAAGTTATATAAAATATACAAAATTGGCTAGAGATGTATACGCATACGATGTCAGCATAGATGGTGCATGCTTTCCATCTCTGAAGATGAGATCATGTTTACTATAGTCTGGTGAACGCTAAGCGCCATGTGACCCCTGTTTGATAACAGTTGTGATGTAAACTATTGCATATCTCACCAAATCATCTCATTGCTGATCTGTTTCACTCAACTGCTTGCTTTTCAGAATGAAAGAGTGCAAAAGAAGAGCAGAAGGCTAATGAGGACGATGGTCCTATCAGGTTCCGGTTATTGCGACGGTTTGTATTTTCATACTCTGTGGGTGTTTTATTCAATAAGAACTCAAATATTTCCATGAGGGGCTCTATAATTAAATATTGTATTTGCAAGTATGATTAAAAAATAAGGAAAATTATAGTTGTTCGTTGCTTTAACAGTCCAATGGTTTATATCAGCACGGCTTCACCTGCCCATTGGCTGTTGCTATGGTTTTACAGGAAGAGAACCAATTGCACTGTTCTTGGAATGTCAGAAATCACTACACTGTTTGTTCTAAGCTTAAGAACCATCATTTTCTGTAACATATGGACAGAAGTCTAGGTACATTGTGGAATTAGAACAGGAGGGTATTGCTCCACATGAGGCATCTCAAGAGAAGGACTATATATTATTGGTAAAGCTATTCAAAAGTATTGCGTGGCATGTAATGTATGTTTCCCTGAAGATTATCTGCAAATAAACAAAGAAATTAAGGGTTTGATACAGAAGAAATCCCTTTATATGTTCAATTTCTTGTTTGTTTTTTTTTATCAGGGGTATTGATAGACTCAGCTTTCAGATGCATTGCAGAAGACAAGACTGGCTGTTGTTTTAATTCAGTTTTATAAATGAAATTATCCATCCATCCATCCATCCATCCATCCTCTAACCACTTATGCCATCCATCCATCCATCCTCTAACTGCTTATGCAGGACAGGGGTGTAGGGGGTCCAGAGCCCAACCCACAAAAGCACTGGACCAACGTGGAAAGAATGCCAGTCCACAAGGGACACACCAACACATTATGGCCAATGGCTGGTTTTATGTATCTATTTTAAGCATATTGTGAACTACCTATGAATAAAGAAGAAAACACACCAACATGAACCTTGCACAATCAATAAAGACTGCGGCGGCAGCTCAGCAAAGCAGCTGAAATGGCACTAATCCAATGAGGCTTCACCCCAAAGCCACACCCCAAAATCCTCCTGACACTCATACATCACGGATCACAGTTTGCTGTCTCTGGCATTTCGTGACCCCCACCTCTATCGGACACACAGGGATCGAATTATGGGCTGCAGAATCGGTGTAGTGGGTTTCTTGACACCACTTAAGAGGTCAGAAGAGTCTGTGACTTAAGTATTACCATGAGGCACTGGCCTCACATGCCACTGCAGAATCTATAATGGAAAATTCCAGCACTGAGTCACTGGGACAGAATAGAGAGGAGACATAAGGACGGGGACCTATTCAGAACACTAAGGATGACATTGATGACTCATTTGTTCCATACTGTTGCCATGCGTGACAGTTTGCTTTGCCAAGGGTCCCCAGGCTTTGCAAGTTTCACTCCTATTTTATGTAACATATCCTTTGTACTTTGTGGAGATTTGCACAACTTTACTTTGACGATTTAGTTTTCTTCACATACTCAAATATTTTTCCGGTTTAATTGTCATGATGCATATGAATCTGTAACGCCAATGGGAATGGCTGTCAGGTAACATGTGACTGCACTGGGCATCACAGCGTACATGCCACACTGGCTCTCAGTGTATGTGCCGCACTGGGCATCACAGTGTATATGCTATACTGGCTCTCAGTGTACATGGTACACTCGCTGTCAGCGTACGTGCCGCACTGGCTCTCAGTGTACACTCGCTTTCAGCGTACGTGCCGCACTGGCTCTCAGTGTACGTGCCGCACTGGCTCTCAGCATACGTGCCGCACTGACTCTCAGCGTACATGGTACACTCACTTTCAGCGTACGTGCCGCACTGGCTCTCAGTGTACGTGCCGCACTGGCTCTCAGCATACGTGCCGCACTGACTCTCAGTGTACATGGTACACTCACTTTCAGCGTACGTGCCGCACTGGCTCTCAGCGTACGTGCCACACTGACTCTCAGCATACGTGCCGCACTGACTCTCAGCATACATGGTACACTCACTTTCAGCGTACATGGTACACTCACTTTCAGCGTACGTGCCGCACTGGCTCTCAGCGTACGTGCTACATTGGCTCTCAGCGTACGTGCTGCACTGGCTCTCAGCACACACGTCGGGCATAAACTTTTATTGCCCAGCCGAAAATAACCGTCTCTGCCATGCAATCGTGTCACAGCCCCATCAGCGCTTTGCACATTTGCACCGGTAATTTAACACTCACTTTTATGAGACTGTAACTGTGCTGGGCATCAGAAAACATACTTTGCATGTTTTACTAAAAGCATGATCATTTTAGGTGCCTGTGCAGCAGTAGGTCTTGGTGTCCAGTTCTCAGTTCCCAGCACTAAAAAACACATAAATTACATGAATTCCCAAAGCCATCATTTTAAAAAGTACGGAAAATCTCAGCACCAAGAGGGAGGGGGGTTCTAGAAAGTTCTAATCTCCTCAGTAAATGTAATTATAATATTTCTTAATTTGTTTTCCTTGACCAATCATTCTACTTTTCATTCCCTATGCTTTTAAATTTCACATAGTTGTTCTATTTTCCCCTCTGCTTTTTCACTGTGCCAAGCCTCTTTTCGAATGTTATCTTTCTTACATTTTAACTGTCTTCTTGCATTTCCATTGTGTCCTTTTACAAATCTGGTTGTCCTAGGCAACCCAGAGAAAGAATTTTTATGCTCTGTACTTTCCATAGCAACAGAGACTTCACAGGATGAATTTACCTCAATTACAAGTTGAAAACTAAATAAACATACATTAAATTATGTTGTTTGACATGTTGCAGAATTGTCAACCATGAAACTAAAAAGTTAACAGAGCATGATTTACTCATCCAGACTGAATATTTTATAATTTATGTCTCTTGAAGCACATTTCACCTGATTAATGAGCATATTTACAGACCTCCTTTTCCCTCTCTAATCATGTGACGATGCATTGCATGTTCTGAGTTTATCACCGCCTGCTTTTTGCTAAACCTGAATTTGGCTAAACCAGTTGAGGATGATAAGCGGTCTAGATGCTCACGCCCCCTTGTGTATGTTTGCCTGACAGTGCCCTCTTATCCCAGCTGCCCTGCTTTCACACTGATGTAAGGCCTCAAATTGCCATTGAAACCAAGTTGAGGCCTTCTGGCAGATCACTGCCACACATGTCAGGTAGCCAGACTGGCTGGGGGTTCTTCAGTGTCATGGAAAGTCTCCCAGCACCACTGCATAACTTATGTATGACTAAAATTATGATTTGTATGGACGTTTGACCTTTGTGCCCATCATCCCTGCCTATCTCACACTCACAGGCCCCTCTGAGAACACAGCAAGTTTTATAGGCCATCGCAGAAGAATATTGGTTACTAAGTCTTAGATAAGAATAGAGATCCCAGCTTCAGCTGCTTCTTCCCAATAGGCTTAAAGCAAGTGTTAAAGTAAACATTATATATGGGTGACCAGTGATTAATTTGGCCTGAAAAAACAAAAATGTATGTCTAACGGAAGGTGAAAGCTATAGTTTTTACAGTCAGTACTATTGCAAAAAACATAAATATTCACTTCAGGACAAATTTTTCAGCCAAATTAAAGAACATTATGTATCTTACATAACCTACTGATGATCTTCCGAAAACTGTGCTTCAGTAAAATGAAAGTTGCCAAAAATCAAATGGAGATCTGAGAAAATAAAAATCTGTCCCTATCGTGCCAAATGCTCTTAGATTAAATAAACACTGATGCACCTGATACACTGTGGCTGGTGCCAGGATTATATAAAGCGCCATGTATCCGTTAGAAGGTCACGCTGAGTCTGGAGCCAATCCCAGGGAGCACAGGGCGTGAGTTAGGGGACACCCTGCAAGGGATGCCAGTACATTGGCGATATCAAGACTCCAGCTGACCTAAGTGAATACAGACTGCAGGAGAAAACCAGTTCAAGCATGGTGAGAATATGCAAGAGTACAAGGTCATGGGTAAGGAGCTCACATCCCCAGACATGTGTGGCCGCTGCTTTATGCCGTGTTCAGTGTAAGTGTCCTGCACACAAGCAACTTATTTCTTACTTTTAACAATATGCATATACTTCATAAATATGTTTGTCACCACCTTTACCACCGATGAATCACCACCCCAATCCAACAAAATCATCAACAGATTATATTTGTCCATAGGAGATTCACTTTCAAGTGAGTTCAGTCATTAAAATGCTCAGGTCATTAGTGTGACTTTAGCGACATCTACAGCTTAGACAAAGTAATGCAGCATAGATGATTTTCTCACCCACTCAGAAAATCACTGGTACAGATGTCCATCTATCAGAGGTTCCTCACACATACCTGCCCACTATTACCCACTATTTTGTAAAGTGCACCTACAACTAAACCACCATGCATTTTGACCATGAGAGGAAATTAGAACATCATGTATGAACATGCAAATTCAGTAATGAAACAATGCGTATTATGTACGTTAAGTCAACAAACATGCATATTTTTTCATAACTATATACAACTAATTACACAACTAATTTATCACCAACAGTGTGGCAATACTGGACCCCAGGTCTCTCATGCCAAATCAAGGGGTCATAAGCATCCAAATCACTCAACATTATCACCTAACACTCAACACTATCACCTAGCACTCAACATTATCACCTAACACTCAACATTATCTCTTGAGTGAAAGACAAGATTTTCTTAAAGTGAAGAAAAAGCAGAAATGAGTGAAGGTGAAAACAAGACAAGAATGGATGACCTCTGGCAATGTGGTGCTGGCGTCTTTTCATTGGCCTGGAGTCTTTCTTTGGTGAGATGCTGCTTTTTAAGTTAAGACCATTTTTAAAGGGGTTTCCTCCCAAAAAGGGTCAAATCTGAAACCTGTAAATCCACTCAGATCAGTGGAAGTTCAACATGAAGTGAAGAAGAGCAGAGGAGTGTGTCCACTGACAGATAGCTAATGAGGCAAAGATAGAGGCTATGCAAAAGGCAAGGAAGACAGAGGCATCTGCAGCTGGAACGGGGGTGGCAGAGGGCGACACTAGAGATATCCCCATCAGGTTTTTTTTTTTTGCCCCCGATATCAATCAAGTCATTTAATATTGAGTATCTGCCGATACCGATTCCTGATCCGACACTTGTATTTTCGTAGATAATACAGTTGCACCGTGCACATTTTAAATAAAGTTATTATGAATAGCTTCATAAATAACATTTTTTGTTTACAAAATAAACAGGCATTTTAGCCTCCGCACGTCCTCTCTCCATTTACGACACCGTACGCTCTCTGTTTACGATACCTGTATGACCTCTGATTTAAAACAGAGGATTAGGCTCAGGTTTGTACTCAATAAAGCCAATACCGACCTATTAAGAAATACCGAAACTGGCTACCGATCCGATCTTGGACGTTGGATTGGGACATTTGGTGCTGACTATAAGCAAACAGCAAATCACATTCCTAATAATATTCCACCTTTCGCACCTATGTTACATAAAGAGCGAACCGTTAATTCACTATGTCAGAAATCTGTTTTTCTGGGCCAGCCAAGCCTAGTCCTCCATCTGTAAGTGTGCCAAAAATCCTAACTGTATGCTACTCTGTGGAAGAAGGTGTGAATATTATATTAATACAAAACAATTCTTTTGATGTTCTTCGCATTAGGAATGAGTTCTCAGAGTTGCTATGCATTGTGGGGTATTTTCTGTAAACATAACATCCAGGTGGTCTTTAGCGACACAGTAGTGGTGGCACCCCCTCAGTCTCCTCCCATGAATAGCCCTCTTGTTCTGTGTTTTTCTTATGCAAGATTTATGAACACAGATGCTAGCAAGTGTTTAAGATGCCTGCTGACCCTCAGCCGTCTCCTTTTGGTTCTTGGTCACTGATTCTCCGTCTTGCCCTTGAACAGGATTCTGTTGTGAAGAACAAATAACCAAATTTTGATTGTAATATTTGACTCTATTTACCCTCATGAGATCATTATTTGAAAGGTTTACATTAACAATATTCTTCAATTTTTCAACTATGTTTTTAACCTAAGTCCTATGTTAACTTTCTGTTCCTATCGCTTATGTTAAACGGGTCATCTTAAATCAGCCGTAAAATACCCTCAAAACAATTATTTATCATCCAATTTGTTTCTTACCTCTTGGTTACCTTGTTGCTTCCTTATCCATGAATTGATTGGTTTTAATATTTTTGGTGTGGCTTTCTGGACCTTTCTTTTGACACCATACCTCTCATTTTCAATAAAATATTATGGTAAAATAAACCTGAAGAGAAATATAAATTAACTGAATTGGTCTCATCTTGCCTTACAGTACATGTATGGGCATGTCTTGCCTAGTGAAAAAACATTTTTTGATTTATTTTGTTTAAATAGAGATTCCTGACAAAGTCAAAAAGCCTTGATGCAGTACACAAATCTATGTGGTGCATTTATGCATTTTTTAACTTACAAACGGCTCGGTGCCGACCCTAATATGATAGCAAGAAGATATGGCAGCGTTATGTTGGTAGCTCAATAGGACCCACTTTATTCATCGTTCGATGAATATCACCTCACATTTTAGAAGCCATTCATGCAAGAAACCCAAATAATTTAAAGACAACCCTTTTCTTACAACTGTATGTCTGTGTGAATAATACAAAACATTTCATAGCATGTCCATAGACAGACTATACCTTGATACAGAATTAGAATCATGAGTATAGACCTTATTAAAATTGTATCAAATAAGATATAAAAACAAAAGTATAATATCACTAAGCATTTCATTCTTTCATATCATGCTCTCAGATTCCAATGGGAAAAAAACACACGTCATTATGATTTGGTTAAACATGAAGCAGGGCTTGATACATTAAGCCAGGGAAATGTACCACACAAAGATCACAAGAACATGTACAGAAACTCACCCTGAAAAGTGTAACAAGGGACCTCACAAGAAATGAGAATTAGCAGGAGGCTCAGTAAAGCACAGTCCTGAAAGGCATATGTTAGAGGAACGGTAATTGATAGCCAATGTGTCATCTCATTGACTGGAGACAACTGAGTATTGTTTGAAAATGGGGTCTCTCTGCTGCCATCTGGTGGAAAAGTTTGACCATGATCTTAAATTTGAGTAAAGATTATCACAAATAAACCTAGAGGACGCAATGCCTGTGTTGTCACTTCAGAGACCTTACACATTTTGGTCAATACTGCAGACAAGTTGACCTTTACCTGCTTAGATCTGCCTTGTTAAATATTACATTCATCAATCTCCATCTTCATGGTTAGGGTAGTGGGGGTCATAGAGCCTGATCCAGGCAGCACATGGCTGAAAACAACCTAGATGGAGTCCCAGCCAGTCAGAGGGCACACACACACACACACGCACACACACACACGCACACAGACTCTCTCACACACACACACACACACACACACACTCTGGTCAATTTAGAGATACCTCACTGTGTTTCTTTGAACTTTGGGACGAAACCCAAGCTTTCAAAAACAGTAAGAATGGTAGAATTAAAATTTAAAAAAAATCCGGTTTATTGTAGATTTCAGTTCCCTACTCAGTCATGCTTTGCTCTGAACTTTGTCGAGATACTGTAACATCACACAAAAAAATATTACCTAGTACAGGTGTTATGAAGCGTGGATTTTCTGATTTTCATCCGCTGGTTTTCTCATTTCTAATTTATGGAATTCAATATATGATGCACTGCTTGGAACAGTTTAAAATGTTAACAGGACTCACAATCAAACTTGTTTGTGGCATTTAATCGATACACGGTGTCTTGCTTGCAGTACTTCATAACTCACTCCCCACACGTTCCAAAGAAACAGGTTGTCATATCATTTGATATCTTCTCTGTTTCATTGTGATCTGGTATCTTTCTAGCTGAGACAAATATCGTCTATAAGATTTTCTGCTGTCATTTTTTAGGTATTATGCTGAAATTGTCTGGACTCATCAAACTTGATCTGCTTCTGTCGGCAATAAAATCCTCGGCGAGTTAAGGCAAAGGTATCTCTTACACGGGGATTGAACCAAGATTTTCACGAGTATCTGTAGCCACTTTGTCTATGGTTGCATTTAAAGAGGAACTGTAAGGAAATCCCATCTAAGAATACATCTTCTCTCAGAGGATAGCAACGTTTTTAAAGACTCTGTTAAAGTAAGTATATAGCTTAACAGACCACAAATACTTTTCCTGGCTTTTGATGTGCTGAGATGGTCTATGTGTCATGTAGTGGGGCAAACCAAGTAAGCAATTTAGTTCATTAAGAACCAACCTTCCCAACACCTCCTGGAATTATTTCATGACAATTTCACTTGTCTTATTTTTAACATTACATTTGCAGGATGTCTTGCATGGTGATCATGAATGATACTGGTCCCTTACAACAAATGCCGAACTTTCACTTGCGAACTACATAAACAAACAAACAATCAAATAAAAATGACTGGGCTGAGGATGCAGAAGTACATTTCCAGGGAGCAGGGGCCAGGAAACAGCCCAGTAGTGTGTTTGACGATGGTCCTGGGATTTACGTGAGACTCACAGTCAGTAAATATGCCAGCGGGTAAAATTTAACATCTAAGCTAATGACATGCATTTCCTTCTCATTTAGTGTATGGTAAGAATTAGTAGAAATTTAGTATGTAAGTATAAGAATCATAACAATGTAGCAGATAAAACACAAGACACTGTAGAGGAGCGCTTTCTACATTGTCACCAGGGATTGAATTTGACCTGACAGTGCATGATAATAACAATAACAACAATAACAATAGAGATATGATGCAAAAACGTCCACTCAGGTAACTGGTGCTGCTATTAGTACAATGTGAAACTCTGTTTTACCTCTTGGGATACATAAACGCAATGCTTTATAATTTTTTTTTTTTCTTGTTTTCATCAGTGCTCTTAAAGCCTTTCTACTAAGAGATAAATTCAACAGTAACATTCTTTTTTAAACCAACTGGACTTTACATTAGCAAATACCTATATTTATTCTATTAAGCCATATGGTCCTGAAATAAACACGTAAACCCTTCCCTTTGTGAATCATTATTTGAACACATATGAAGGACGATGAATTGATGCTGAACAATATCCCACATTTAAACTGACTGAATTGTGCCATTGAGTTCCTACATCTTAAGTTTTGTTGTAATATTTAATATCCTTTTGACATTAAAGTATAAAAAAGGGAACGATTGTTCCCAGACAGTTACTCACCCTCCAGTTTAAGATGTTGGAATAAAGTTAGGGACCATTCTTGAGTCGTGACTCCAAGACCAAAGGGGCACTTCTGCAGCTGTGAGGTATCACACAGCTACATGCATGACAGACCCTGGCTACGTGGCGCGTGAGTTATGAAGTGCTGCAAGCAAGGCACTGCGCATCGATTAAATGCCACAAACAAGCTAGAAAAAAATAGGTTTCATTCTCGCTGAATGATCAATGCTGTGTCTCATTTACAATCTTTGCACCAAGTTAATTTCTGCAATTCTTACGTCGAAATGAGAAAATTCCAAATGTCTCTACAAATTATCAGAACTTTAGCTACATAAAATTTTTATACAAACTTGTGCAAGGATTTAAAAAATGAAGGTTGGGTTTTTTTCAAACCAAATAAATAGAAACATATTCAGAGAAATATAAAAGTAGTTGTTGGCACAGTTTGTACTGAGTCTGTAGATGCTTAATCCCGTAAACCAATAAAGAGTGTAAGGTTTCAAATAAAAAAATATTTTCCACGGTTTGCATGGGTAGAATTCTATCCAGCTGTCTCATTATGTAAATATGATATGTCTGCGGTTTAAATTCTCTGAACCAGAAATGTTCTTAAGCTTCATTGACAAAAAAGTGATTTGACCATTAGTCTTGTAGTTTGCACAACGAAGGCAAAAAATTCCCATACACCTAAACGGAGGTATAAATTCGATTTCTTATTAAGACAAACAAATGAGTCTGTTTTTATTTTTAGAAATTTTTGAATGCTGAAGCATCCTATTTGTGATACGGGTGGAGCTTGTTTTTAAAAACTGCTATACAATAAATGTGTGATTTCTGCAGGCTAATGAATAAGACACACTTAGGATGGGTATTCATAGACATGACGGTCCTGTTGGAGGGGCTGCGAGTTTCTGAACTGGCCGTTTTTCTACGTTAAATGCTTGTCAGGCCTAAGAGCGAAACGCCATTAAAAATCGACATGCGTAAGCACCAGGTGGCAGAAGCACACATTTTATAGCCTGGCAGATCCGAGAGGCGACACTCCGATCCCAGCGTGAGCAACAGCACTGCTAAAGAGGAGCTGAACTGTTAACTCCGAAGAAGTCAAAGATCGTGAGTATACAGGGGAAACGTGGTCGCTATTTGGGTAACAACTGCTGTACCATTCAGCTACGACTTGTTTTTCTCATCTGTTTAACTGATTTAGTATATTGGTCATCTGTTCATAAACTAATTGCTCACCCCTGTAATTGATGCTAATAAGTACTAAGAATATTAGGTTTTGTATAAATACAAAATGCCAGTTCAGATGAGTGACAGGTGCACCTTTATAAGGACAAAGGACTGAAGATTCTTTTTTGGTTTTCTCTGATCACATTTAAAATGTGACAATTTTGGATGATTTACGTTTATTATAACCTTTAAAACCATCAAGATTTTCTATAATTATTATACAATATCAGCAAGAAACAGCTTATGCTTGACCATTGCAGAATTTTTATCTTATTCGTACTGGTTGCAACCTTTTCCACTCTATGCTATTAAAACTTATTTGTACAATCATAAAGACATCTTAAAGCATACATATACCAATATATACACACACACAAACACACACAAACACACCAGGTTTCTTAATACATGTTGTTTATGCGTCCAGTTGCATATAACTTAATGAACAGAAACCACCTTATTAGAGTAACTGTCTTCCCCTATCAAACACGTAATCTGCAGTTGGTGGGATGGTTTGGGGAGTAGCTACTCCGTGCCGCACTGATAAGTGCACTTACACAGTAAAAGCCAGCTGCCAATGTCCTATTTGAACAGTGATTCCCCACCTTATTCTTGGCAATCTACTCTGTATAGCAGTTTTATCTCCAGTCTAAGTAACTGACTTTAACAGGGCTGCTGGTTCGGTTCTGACAAGGATGTGACATAAAACAACACAAATTTTTTATCTGATGAAACTTAATTTGTACTGAAAACCATAAAAAATCGGGGAACATCTTTAAAGTTACTGTAAAGCTTAAAACATCAAACTCATGACGATTACTTTTAGCTCCTGTTGCTCAACAAGTACAGCATTGTGCTGATACCACAAAGAGATAGAGGTCAAATCCCTGGAAATGCAAAATAAATTGTAACTCTTCCCGCCACTGTAAGCCATTTAGTAAAAAGCATCAGATAAACTAATGCAAATGTACAAATATTTATAAATAATTAACAGTCATTAAACCTCCACAGCATCAAGGTACCTGGATGTGTCATTAATCAGAAGTGTCATACAAAACTGCATTAGAGATCAACCTTATTAAGGAAACCACGTTTACTACCCTTTAAATACATTTAATAGTAACATACTTCCCTTAATTTCCCAGAAGATGAGTAGCTTGTACTTTATAAAGGATGTGATATCAAATTGATCACACTTCCATGACCCTTAAAAATTTTCTCCGTCATACTGTGTAAGATTGTGTAACATTGGGGCAGTAATTAGTGCACTACGTAACCTCAAAGCTATCATGGGGCATTTAGCGAATCATGTTACCATTTATGAGTGTCATCACTTTTGTTGCCCTACCAAACTATCCATCTGCAATTTATGCTTCATACAAGAGTAGCTGAATATGTGAGTATCTGTTAAAACCAGACTTTTTCATGGTTAAATCTTTAGGCGCAGAAACAGGGCAATTTTAAAATTTTTAAAAATGTCACATTCAATAATTAATGAATTAATATGAATTTTTGAAAAAACTTTGTAACTTTTGAGATGTTGTGGTGCTTCAGCCCAACAGTAATACATGCTTGTTGTTTATTCCTGTTGATTCTCATCTTGCGCTTCCTGGGGGAAATAGAATTTGGTCTCTCAAAAAATCTTTCCAAATCAGCATGAATTACAGAGAAAGATGTGATTTTTGCCAAACAGATATATTAACTAATTAATGAATAACCTGAGTTGCAACCGGAATGACCTAATGGTGTGTAAACAATGTACTGAGTCATATTTGCATTCATATCATGTTCTGTATTTTTATGTTTCACAGTATAACATTGTGATTTGTTAAGTAATTTCAACGGTTTCTAGATGTACAACAATATCTGGGGGGGTCCCCCTCAGCTGACTTTGTCGATCAACTGGGGCAGGTGGAGGGTCGAATTCACTCAACGGATTTCAGTAAAAAGATATTCCAAAATGGTGCTCTGTTAACAACATTTTGTTAAACTCATAAGTCAGTTAACATAGATTTAGAAATTGATTAATTCAATCTTCTAATTCAAAATTCCAATTCACCTAACCAAATTTCTTTGTGCTGTCTTGTTTTAATGTTTATTTTTGGTTTAATACTCAATTGGGCAGCTAGTATTTCATATTTCTGTAAAACTGTGCGCTTATAACCTGAATCATTTTTGATTATGTATACTGCAGATGGAAACTGCTTAGTTACACAGGAAAACTGCAATAAAAATTAAAACATCGAATGCAGTCGAAACGGAACACACTTTTGATAATCAATTTATGTCAAAGTATACACCTGCCAAATTTTAAAACAATATTCAGTTGTTTTATTAAATATCCTTGTTCATGCTAATGTTCAGTCTTTGCATCAACCCAAAACTGGCAACAGATTTCAGTATCTGTGTCTGAGCTTCATTTTTTTTGTATTTCAGCTGTACAGCACTTAAGGGGTAACCAAGATGTGGAGGACAGGAAAAACAGCTGCCACTGGACAAAGTAATCACGAAACACTGCTTACTATCTACACCAAGCACTAGCCAGTTATCAAAAGAGCACTGATCCTCTTAATCACTGCATTACTCCATATCTTTCTAAGACTCATATATGCACAGCGTTTTGTAAACATATTTACGTGTTGCATAGCAATCCCTGCCGATCTACTAAAATTTGATGGTTTTTAATCTACTGCGTATAGTTTGCAGATGATAAAAAAATCTTCGTGAAATTAAATGCTTAGGCTCTCCTAGGGATTAGCACCTCCATCTATTGCTTATCTTATTCCTGCCCGGCCAGGCACTGGTGGACCTCCTGCCAAGAAAGGTAGGGATTTTACTCATGCATGTGTGAAACCTTCCTAGAACTATTTGTTAAACTAACACAAAACCCGGTTTATTAGACCAAATGAATCCTGTTATTCTGACAAGATTTCAGATTCCCAAATTTTTTAACGCTATGATATGAAAAGCAGTCTCCAAATAGCAAAAATCCATCACTTTTCCTAATGATGATTTCTGCAGTCATAAAGACATCGTTTTCGAAGACATCCATAATGTACACCAACCCAAAGAGCAAATAACACATCGCAAAAGTATTTTAACTTTATGAATTAAGTAAAAATAAAAGTATTGTTACTCTATGAGTATTGTAGCGTCTAACTACTAAATAAGAGAGTTGTTTCCTTTAGTCACTATACTAATGGCTGTTGTTGGCCGCAGCCACACCTTACAAACCTGTAATACTCTTAAACCTACCCGAAGACAGCGTAAGAGCGAAAGCCCACCAAACTCCCACTTAAATAACCTCGCTCTGTGGAGCCAACCTATTCAAAAACTGCACATGTAACTGCAGAATATCTGATAAATAGTTCAGTATCTTAATTTCTACAGTTACTTACTGTGCCATACCTAAAACTAGGGATGGTTTGCTGGATACTGTTTCGAAGCTCAGGAGCCTCACCTGAAATCACAGTGATATTTGGACACAAAGCTTTGTTTCTCATCAGTATATCACACACGTCTCAAAAATGAGATGCGTTTACTCTGCCTCACAGGGATCATGTTAATTGGAGTGTAGTACAGCCTATAGGTTAACACTGTTAGAATGACAATATAATCTGTTCCGTCTATGCTCCTCTTTGCATGAGTACAAACACTCGAGTGCATTCTATGCACCCACACGCACACAGACAACTCACTTTTACAGTGTGGATTTGATTGTTATATAATTATTACATTTTATTCCATACAGACTGGTATGCGTGCATGAGATCTTGCCTTTAAATACATAAGAGGCTGCAGGTTGTAATTGCTTGGGGGCAGAGTGTGGCTCAGTGGTCTAAGCCTGTGTTATCTGAAGGTCCCTGGTTCAACCTGGGCCTGGGCACATCTGAGGGACCTTCAGCAAGGGCCTTAACCCCCAGGTCTCACCTACAAGGAGAAAATAGAATCCCCCCCATGGGGATCAAAAAAGTACCGATAATGGTTAATTAAAGATGAGCTCGAAGGGGATGCAGAGTCACCAGCCGACTCTGCAGTGAGTGTCACTGTCCAGCAACATCTTGATGACTGATGCAATTCATAAAACTGCCCAATATGCCAAAACTGGACAACCCCCGGGTACAGGCTCATACAGAACCCCCCCCCACCTAAAACACAGTTTTGCCCCCTAGTGAGACACTCAAAATTACAAGCCCAAATGCATGTAGGTATGTATGCATGTATGTACAGTGGGGTGCAAAAGTCTGAAACAACATTGAAAATCTCGGATTATTTTTTTTTTCATTTAATCCTGGAAATAAATAGGCATGCCGGCATTCCACAGTGGGCCACCCGGAATATATACCTCGTGTTCTGATGAATCTGAAGTTTGCAAGCTATGGCAGTAACAGAAGGGTTTACAGTATGTAAGGAGATGAGCAGGAGAGAGATTAATACCACAGTGTATCAAAACAAGCGTGAAGCACAGTACTGGGAATATTCAAGACTGGGGGTACTATGCCTGCCCTGGGGTAGGACACCTGTCCCAAATCACCTACCCCCTGAGAGGAAATGTATCAGTGCATTCTTCATGCAGATCACTCTGGTTTGGATCTTTGTGGTGAAGGATTCATACCGTAGCAGGATAACGACCCAAACCAAACCTCAAAGCTTTGCAGGCAGTAAGGGGAGCCATGAGTATTCAGAAGCAGTCACCTGACCTAACGTCTATGAATATTAGTTTGTGTGAATAGTCAGATTGCAGACACATTAAATGAATCTCCGAGTCTGTTACAAATTATTTAAAACCTGGAATTTTTCCTTCATTCACCCAGAAATTCCTACTTGGCTGATAAAACAAATTGGATACTAATGAAGAGGAATTATTGTATTTATAATGAAAAGCATGAACAACTATTGAGAAGCAGGTCATTTTAGGGCTTCCAAAGATCTGCCATAAGAGATGTCTTAATATAAAATCACATATCATGTGTGTAACTATCATACCTCTGGCACAGTGATGATAAGAAAAAGATCCACAATCCCTGGAGTAATGATTAATCAGTATGTGGAGAAGTTACCCGAAGGAAAGACCACTCCGGACTTCATTCGCAAACCCACAGCAATAACTGTTAACGAAGGTAAGTTTCACAAGCATTTTATCATCTGTTATTTCTAGCTACAGGGCTGTCAGTTCTCCCGCATTGAGCGTGAGACTCCAACAATTGGGTGCAACATCACGCTCTCACGCTCAGCTTGTAATTTCTCCTGCAAATTTCACATTTCCATCCAACTACTACATTAACTAGAGGTGAGCTGAATATCTGGTTGAAACGAGTATCTGGTAGAAAAATACCGTGGTACTGAAAATATAGGGGTATATTATAATATTGGCCAAGCCTACTCTTCACCCATAGAGAAAAAAATTATGATCCATATATGGATGATACGTACATGTATGATTATGGCCCCTTTCATATATGATTCATCCAGGTATGATATATGATCTTGCATGATACTGGTGGTCACACAGTAATACATACAGATAACATGTAATCAGGGGCGATTCTACGATTTGAGCTAAAGCCCCCTAAAATACTCCTAACGACGCTCCTGTATGAAATGAAACATAAGTTGGACAATACTCTCTCATGTATACATCATTTACATTAAATCTACATCTATAATGTCAATTTAGTGTAATCCTGCAAATATACTGTAAAGCTTTTATGGAAGTCACAAAAGCTGCAAAGTTTATACCGATATTTACAAAATACATTCATATATACAAAAATAGTGTTCACAGCTTGTTTTCCAAAGTTTTTAACAATGCGTATGACTGTTGTGGTAAAACTGTAACCATTATGGTATAATCTTAAGGTTTTATGAACAATTATTGTAGGAAGCGTAAATGGTCTCTGCAGGGTGCCACGTGAGCTAGCTATAAGAATAATTAACTAAATCATAATAATTTAACTTGTAAATTATCAATCCATGCACCTTCCTTGGGAGGGGGGGTTGGAACTTGACAATAATAATTTATTATAAAACTATAGAATCAGTATAATTAACAATAACTTTTGAGTTACTAGTTCCAGTGTGACTGTCTTATCATATTCATATTTATTGCCAAAGGCATAAACGGGGAGTCAGCATCCTCATTCTGTGCTTGGGGTTGATGCTGCATGTGTCTGATGTCGCAGGAAAAGTGGCTGTATTCAGAGCAGCTGTGACTGGGGATCCAGCCCCAACGGTCACATGGGGGAGGAGCAAAGACAACGTCACAGATCCAGAAAAATACCAAAAGAAGTATGATGACACAAATGAGGAATATGTGCTGGAGGTGAGATCTGGGGCCCGTGCTTCAGCAAACCGGTGGGCTATTTAGTGAGGGCCCTTGCTTCAGCAAACCGGTGGGCTATTTAGTGAGGGCCCTTGCTTCAGTAAACCGGTGGGCTATTTAGTGAGGGCCCTTGCTTCAGCAAACTGGTGGGCTATTTAGTGAGGGCCCTTGCTTCAGCAAACTGAAGGGCTATTTAGTGAGCTTTAATAAACTTTTGGAAACCATTTTAAAAAGGAGCCTAGTGACTTTTTGCATGGACTCAAAGTGCTTTTCCCAAGTTTGAGCCATTTTAGTTATTTATCCTCTTACATACCGCATCTTTTATCTCATTTTTCTTAATACTTGTATTCTTTATTTCATATTTGCTATTTGTACGCTCTGTGTTTCTTTGAGTCTTGCACTATGAGAGCTCTATCTTGCCATAATACTTTCCTTTGGGTGAATAAAGTTCTCTCATCTTAAGATATAAAAGTTGATTTGAGCTGCACACACATGAGACAGTCCCCACCTACCAACCCCTCCCTCTGGTCCCCTTAGGTAATTCTGCGGCCCACCCAACATTTCAAAGCCTGAGCTGGTCATGGTTGGGTCTAACACACTAATTCAGGGTTTCCCACCACAATCCTGGTGTCCATGTTTTTTGCTTCCTCACAGCTCAGATAGTCCACCTTTTTGCCAGGAGCTGGGAGGGAGCAAAAATGTGGACTATCTGCGGGTCCCCGAGGACTTGGTTGGAAAATGGTGCACTAATTGATTTAGCCTTTATATATATATATAAAAAGAAAAGAAATACAGTAAATTTGATTTTTTTCCTCAGCACTTCCTCAGTGGTGAGGAAGCATCTGTACACAAGTGCATTAAAAATACCTGAAATGTTCTTTTTTTCTTTATCCTTAGATCCCCAATGTGTCTGTAGACCAAGCAGATGTCTACAAATGTTTTGCTACTAATGAGTTCGGAAAGGCCATCTGTAGTGCTACCATGAAGGTCATTGCAGGTACAGTTGCAGTCAAAGTTTGTCTAATTTGTTTGGGCAAAAGCAGAAGAACATAAAGTATCAATCAGGATGCCAGGTGTTGATTGTATTGACATCCACTGTGAAATATTTTTGAGCCTCCATATTGCTGAAATTTAAAGCAACCCACTGATTGTGAATGTACTGTCAGAACTATCTGAAGAAGATGGAAGATGAAAGAAGGTGGAACGTGATGACATGGCCTGCAGAACCACCCAACCTTAACCCCTTTGACTTTAATTGGGATGAAATGGATAGAAAGGTCATGACTACGGAGCCAACTAGTACAGGAAATGAATATTGGACACTGTATGACATTGTTGACTTTCAGCAAAATACCTTTGAGTAAACATTAGTCTCTCTTGAGTTTGTTCAGCTGTCGTCACTGTAAAAGGTGTCTGATTTATTGTGTATAAGGTTTAGCTTCTTTTTTAATGACATAGTTAGTGTCAGTCACATTATTTGCCATTCTGTACCTTTCTTTTTTGTATACAGGACTGAACTCATACAGCACTCAGTCAACATTCAGACAGAGGTTATAGACCTTTTTTACAGACTGTCTATGAGAACTGTTTGGGCTCATATACCTTTTTAAGCATGTAATCCCACCTGCATCTTTTCAGACCATATAAGGGATCGGTTTGCTAATTTGCGTTCTCAGGACCTCCCTTCTGTGATGGTTAATGCACCACAGGGAGTGATCTATGCACCACAGGGAGTGATCTAGTCTCATTCCTATGGTAGGGTATAGCTCACGGGGAAATACTGATTTTCCCATCAATAGAACATAAAATTAACCGTTTTATTTGAATCGGAGATAAGGAATTTGGGAAATTCATCACATCAAAGGTGAAAAAGCTGACTTTATTTACAGTTGGGTTGACTTAGCCTAACCATTGAGGCACTCTGTGCCTGTGATGATCGGAGGGTGGCTGGTTCCAATCCTTTGGTCTGCAGGGTTCTTTCATCACTGGGTCCTTGACCCCAAGTTCTCCAAGCACTGCCTGACCCTCCTTTCTCAAATCTACATCACTTTGGATTAAAGGACCTGCGAAATAATCCAAACGCGTGTGGATGATAAGAACGTGTGCAGCAGTGTTACATCTTGGAAATGCTATGAAGTGTGAATGAAAAGGCTGAACTGACATGTCTCCCCTTCTCTTTCAGTTGGAGGCAAGAACCTCACAGGTTTGTGTCATTCAGAACATTGATATATATGGTCATTTATCAGAAATATAAATGAAAGCAGATATAGGAGGCTGGACATCCTGCCTGAAATGTCTCCTCTGAGGTGATATTACTGTTATAGAGTCTAATGGCTACTAAGACTACATTTGAGAAGGAAACAAATCTACAGAGCAAAACAAATGTCAGCTGTTCCAGATCAATTGGCTTGAGTCAGTGAAGTCCAGGGTTTTGGAAGTTTTAAAAAAATTTGAATGTTCTAGAAGAGATGCTGCACTCAGCCTGCTACCATTGCCTTATGCACAACCTCATCAGCCTCCGGATTAACCCACTGCTACAGTCATTGACGCTGTCCTTGATCTCCTCGTGCTGATATTCTTTTACTGCAAGTCCCTGCACACATCCACGCGATGCAAAGTATGACTGATTGGGAACAAATGTGTGGCTTTAGACATTTTCCCTGCGTTGCTTTTCTATATCACCATTTAGGTCAAGGAAAAGAGATGGATTTCAGAAAAATGCTCAAAAGAACGTAAGGCAATACCGTCTTATGTCCACATACAGTATATTCACTTGATCCTTAAAGCCATTTTAAATTGTGTATTTTTTGTGATGTTATCAGAAATAAAAAGTGCACACTTTCAAGAAAAAATTTTGAGCACTTTTAATTTGAATTAAAATTGAATTTTTATAATGGGAAGCCTGCATAGATAGGCAAGGCTTGGGTTGAGTTATCCAAAATGTCATTTAAATTTTCCAAAATGTCATTTAAATTTTCCAAAATGTCATTTAATTTTCCGTGCCCAGGAACGTGGAAAAGAAAAAGCCTCCTGCCAAGAAGGAAGGTGAGATCGATCCGCAGTTCTGGGAAGTCCTGCTGTCGGCGGACAGGAAGGACTACGAGCGCATCTGTGCCGAGTACGGCTACACAGACTTCCGATTCATCCTGAAGAAAATCGCTCAGATGAAAAAAGAGAGGGAAGAGGAACAAGCGAAGGTGTGTCCATCTGAGTTGTAAAATCAACGTGGGGCCGCCAGGATTACGCTGATTATACGCAGGTTAAGGGGACAGATGGGAGAGGCATGTTTGAGGGGATTATTCCATGCTGCGAGTCACAAGCTGGTTTAACAGTCTGTCGGTTACTGAACTGGTTTCCAGTTAGCATGTCCGGTGGCATTTGTAAATAAAGGAGCAGCGTTTTGGCTTAATGGTTAGCACACTGCTTCAGTGAATGCTGCTTCTGGCTCTGTATGCAAGTCTACGTGTGGTACCTAGCCCTGAGGCCAACTTTCTGCGACCTAGGGCCGGGCGATATATCGATAAAATATCATGTCATAATTATGAACATTCATATCATCATCAATTTGAATGAAGTATTGTGATATTTTCATCGAATTCCATAACTCTATGACACTGTTGTTGGCATTATTTACCATTATACCTGTCACAGTCCCCATAACTGTTAGTGAAACAATGTATTCATCATTATCAGAAAAACTCAAAATCTGTCATACTAGGCCTGTACTGTTCTACATATGAATGTTAGAATATCGTAAAAATCTCTGAAAATATCATTTTTAGGGCATATCGTACTGTTGACATTATCTAGTGAGACGCCCTGTGACAAAAGAGGAAATTTTTGTATAATTTATTTAATAAAATGTAATTTCAGTTCGCAGTCCATTCAATTTGTCAACATCATGATGATTACTGATATTAATTCATACGAATAAAAATTCATATGATAAAATATGTTGGTGTATTGCCTAGCCCTACTGCAGCCCTTTATGGATAAGCAGCCATGGATTGATTAGCACAATTACAGATGCAAATGTATTTTAATGGCTCCAGTTTTGGTTTAGTCTCATTTCTTTCTTCTGTCCTCTCTATCTTTAGTATGTGGAGAGCATCAGCAATCCGAAACCTATTGAAGTTAAGGGAGATGGTACAGCCAAGTTTGAGTTTGACATGGAACTTAAGGACCCCAACAGTAATCTTTTTCTTTTCAAGGTCAGGTGTTTCTTAAATGTAGTTTGTTTGCATTGTGTATGGTAGTGACCACCAGGATGGGTTAACCCTTATTACATATTAATTCAAATCACAGATCACCATACTTCATTGTGATAACACAGTGATTTTACTTTACATTATAGCGGTCTTAATTTTGATTTTGTGCAGAGTGGCCAAAGCTTCCAGAAAATAAATTTAGCTGTGTAGCGTTTGGCAAAACACTGTCATTTTCATTTTCGTATCTTACAGGATGGAGAAATGCTCGACTATGGCAGAGAGGATGATGACAGTGACAGTTATATGAAGTATAATTTGAAACAATCAGGCAAAAACTATATGTTCAGCATAAAGGACATCGTGCCAGAGGATGCAGGCTTGTATCAAGTGGATGTTGAAGACACTAATGTCTTTTCAACAGAATTGAAGCGTAAGACTTAACAGTTGCCCTTTCATTTTATTGCACCAGATCAATGTTCTTTAATTTAATTGGAAATTTGCTTAGTCATTGTAACTTATGGAAATACCTAATGAGTCTCCTTGACAATCTTCTAGTTCCTTCAGGGGAGTTTCTTGCCAACATTAAGGAGGTCAAAGCAGAGGAAGGACAGGACGCCATCTTTGAATGTGTCTTATCCAACCCTTTGCCTTCAATTACTTGGATGGGCGGTGACACACGCTTGGACTCTGGGGGAAAATATCATATCTTTGTGTCTGAAGATCAGCTGATCCACAGATTAGTGGTGAAAGGCTGTAAGCCAGGAGATAAGGGCGTCTACAAAGCCATTGCTGGCAGTCAATCAAGTAGCGCCTCACTCATAGTCCAAGGTGAGACCAATCGTTAATGTCAGATGAGGCTGTTGACAGTTTGGACCATCTAAACACCATGCCAACTCAGGCTTCGAATTGGTACAAGCTTAATATGACATCTATTAAAATGTCAGTCTTCCCTTATTCATGCTGCAGCATCATTAAATACAACTATTAATGTAATAATAAACAATAATATTGAGATGTCCAACCACCCCCACCAACAACTACAGATGCACACACTGTCAATAGTCAGTTTAGGTTGATAGTTCTACATGAAGAGAAAGATGAGTGAGAAAGTCCCCCGTAATAAACTTTGCTGAGCTTGGTGGGGGGGTGGGGAGTGGGGGGGGGGTGGTTGGCAGTACAAAAAACAGCATAGGCTAGGAGGTTCAAATGAAAAGTCAAATCATAAGTCGGTCTGTTATATTGCCATTTGTGTAGCCTAAGCCTACTTCCCCGACTAAGGCGTCAATCGCCGGCTCATCCTTCAGATCTTGACATCTGGTTGCTTGCCTGATATCATCAATTACTGGTAATATCATCATATTGCCTGGGCTTACTGTCACCTGACTGGCTTGGGGTGACCCAGCTTATCTTATTATGTGCTTCGATCCCCCTTCTGGTCAGCACAACAAAGACTTTCCCATGTCCCAAGTCTGTTAACACTGCTAGAAAACCAAACCCTCCTCCCTGCAAGCTCTGCATGCTACAATATGTGATGTACCCATTAGGAAATATGGCAATTAGCAAGAGTAATTTCCTCAATATCCCAATGTGTCGTACAAGGTGATTATGCTATATATATATATATATATATATATATATATATATATATATATAATCTCACAATTTTCATATTGTACCAAAGGAGGGAGTACAACTCAAGGTGGAGGTGGAAGCTCTGGTCTGGACAAAACAACCCAGGATCAGCAAACTAAACTACAGAAGGAAAGAGGCAAGATGGGGGATGAAAAAGGAGCAAGAGAGAAGAATGCATCAGCATCTGGGGGAGCTGGTGGTGGGATTGCCGGAGATGGGATGGGAGACAGCAGTGCTGGACTCGGCTCTGGGTCAGCATCTGCAATGGGTGATGGTTCAGGAAAAGATGGCAAGGGACTGGGAGATATGGGAAGTAGGGGTAATGGGTCTGGAGGTGACGATAGAGGACTTTCTGGCAGAGGGACTGATGGTGCAGATACTGGTTTGGCAGGTCTTACTGGGTCAGGGGTTGGTGGGAGACGACATGATGAGGACGGTCTTAGTGGAACAAGGCTTGATGATGATGGCCTTGGTGGAGCAGGAGCTGGAGGTGCAGGTCTTGGAGGAGATGCCTCTGCTGTTGATGGGTCTGGGGAAGATGGAGCGGATGGTAAGGGCAAGCAGCGCAACAGAGCGGGACTGGCACTTCCTGAAACGCACAAAGGTGAGCAAAAATGCACACTAATTTGCAGATACCTTTCACAAATCATGTTCGCTCACAAAAATCAAAGAAAAATAGAATTTGCGTGTTTGTTAGGAAGATGTGGGGGAGATGGCCAGGCATGGCAGAGGGAAAACAGAAAGGAGGAGATGCAGTGAAGGGCAGAAAGAAAGGAAACAGGCATTCAGTGGGACTAGAATGATGTGAGGACCTACAATCTGGTGGAAACATAAAACAGAATAAATAGAGCACAAAAAGCACAAAATCATAATTTCAAAACTGAGGACAAGATTTCTCCATACAGGAAACTCATTTCTAGAGATGGAGTTAAGGCATACAGAAAACATGGATCTCGAGAGGATTCCAGGAGATGGGAAAGGAAAGGAGAGTCTTATACTCTGAAACTGTGCAAAGCTCTGGTGTAGATTAAGGCCTGAGGGACGACCCCACCATCTCTCGGGTGACAAAACAACAAGAAGCATATAACCCAATAACTTATGGATTACTAATGTTAGCACTTTTAGAATTACTCTTGCCTTTAGCCACCTCTGACTTTGCCAGAAATATAAAATGTGATATCATGAGACTTTGGTAACAGTGGTCTGTTTATCAGTAATTGCAGTGAGGATTGTCTATAATCTTCTAGAGTACTGATGCATATTTATAATGCTATTGCTACGCAGCTTTAAGGTTCTGTCAGTGTGGTACCTCAAATAACTTTGGTACCTCATATAACTTTAAGCAAATAGAAATTAGCTTCAGTGTCTTACTTTGATCTTTACATCCTACAGTGAACTACTGTACAATTTCAGGATTTTTCATTAGCCTAACAAGGTTTCTATTTGTCTTGCAAAAAGCATCACCCCGAAGTAGCTGTTATTTCACCGTCTTACAGACCCTGGAGTTTACTTCAGCAGTGGGCTGTCTGATGTCCATGCCATCATCGGCGAGGCTGCAGAGATGTTCTGCAAGCTGAGCAGTGGTAGCTCTGATGGAGTCTGGTATAAAGATGGAAAAAAAGTGAGTCACGCCAGAATCTACATCTTAATGCATCTTGCCTGAAACTTTGCGTCTCATTTTGATAAGTGGTGAATCACAACATTGCCCTCGTCTCTATGCACTCTCAGCTGAAATCCACAGATAGAGTAAAGCTCACCAAAGACGGGACCACCCACAAGCTGTGCATCAAGAACTGCCAGGAAGCCGACTCAGGGAAATACCGATTTGAAGCAGATGGACGTAAAACAGAAGCCATGCTTAATGTGCAAGGTTGGAATACCAGCCACAATATACTCTGCACCTCAAAATTACTGCTTAACACAGAGTGTGCATGAACAAAGCTTTGGGGATTGTAGTTCCCACCCCTGGCTCTCTCTGGTTTCCTCAGAGACCAAAAATATGAAGTTATGACAGTTGGTGTTTACAAACTACCCATAGTACATGAGTCTTAGGGTTGAATGACATCTTAATCACGGTGCCTTTTAGAACAGGGGAAAAGCAAACTCCTATCTAATATTAATATCTGAAGCTGTCCTGCCATATGACTGATGTAAAGATGATAGCTATATTTACAGGTCAATAACTATAATTAATTCCAGAAATTGTCACAGATAAGCCTAGAAACTAGCTAATTTAACACCAGTCCTTATGAAGGGAAAGGAAGTATCCATCCAGGATTACGGACTAACACATCAGCATGATACACTGCAGAGGCGATTAACTGAAAAAGTAGCAGATACGTGATGAGGAGGAACATTTTTAAGGGATTTTCAGTATGAGCTTAGAGAAGTTAGATCTTGCCTAAAGACCAACTGGTTTCCTATGGCAGGCAGCAAAAGTGCAAGATTCTTCTGGTACTAGTCAAAATGTTCAATACGAACAAGTTGAGGCATATATGTTTCATGAGTAATAAGAGTTGAGAGTACAAGTTCTTGTATGTTGAGGGATACCTGAAATTCAGATACCCACAAACCATTTTCTAGATAAGCTACGGAGGTACAACCTGAAGGTCACTGACATTTAAGGTTCTGACTGAGGGATCTTTGTAATGATGAGGTAATTATGCACCGTTGCAGTCTGGTACAGTATATTCTGTGGCATCCATTTTAATTATATATAATTATATATAATGATGGATTATTTTGGTCGATGACCCTTTGCTGAAGTGATTGGAGGATGGATGCGTGGATGGTTTTTGTTAGCAGTGTATTCAAGAGTAAAAGGGAACAACTGGCAAAGCTCTCTTTGCACAACAGGTGGTAGGATGATAAAATTTGCTTGCTGTTATTCTATAGTTTTAACATTATTTTTAAGTCCACTTATCGCATTCCTACCATCACCTAATTTTTCAATATAAAAAGGTGGGTTGACCTTTATATCAGATTATTCTAAAATTTTGGAATTACACACTTATTAAAAATATTATTGTCGTCAGTATTGTTATTATTATTAGTAGTAGTAGTAGTATTATTATTAGTAGTAGTAGTAGTAGTAGTAGTAGTATTTGGATGCAAATTTCTCTACCAACTACTTACTTTCACTTATGTACTTTCTAACCCAGATCCACCCAGGTTCAGCTCTGATGACCTGAGTCAGTTCTCTGAGCCTGTAGTCGTGAGAGCCGGGGAAACCGCAACATTCAAGATGCCCTTTGTGGGTCGGGAGCCAATGAAGGTGCAGTGGTATAAAGAAGGAGAGGAGCTACTGGACGACAGAAATGTCACTGTGGAGAAGGCAGCCAATCAGAGCCGCCTGCTCCTTAGAAAGTGTCAACGTAAAGACTCTGGAGAAATCAAGGTCAAGATCAGGAACGAGTTTGGAACCACTGAAGCCATTTCCAAGCTCAAAGTTCTGGGTAATTTGGGATGGATATGACTAACCCTTAATTTATTTCAGTAATACTCAATAATCATAAATAATATCTTACTAGAAATGAAAAAATGAATAAGTTGCTACCAGTTCAACTGAAAGAGTTTTTCAAAATGTGAAATAAAATTTTAAAATGCTGTCAATTTAAATGATTTAGTTAATGAACAATTTTCATTCTTTCTAGTTCACTGAAGAAAGTTGTTTCTACAAAAAATATCAGACAATTTTCTGCGGCTGATACTAGCCAATATTTCTAAATGCTGAGAATTTTGCCAGTCACCAAACACAAACACATGACTCGGTGGTGAGGAACAGGATTATTCACAATATTTCTCTTTTCAGAGTGGATTGGAATGAAATTAATGCAAATATCAATTCAAGGAGCTGAGTTTGCAAAAAAAAAACAAAAAAACACACATGTATGAATGATGTGTCTGGACTGAAACGGGAATAAATTGAATAGGATGAAACCACAGATCTTGGAAGTGTGTTATAATGCAATTGCAGGTTACTGGGGCTGAAAAAACCAGACACCAATATGTTGACAATTTGTTACCAATGAGGGGCAGATGGCATAAATTACTATGAGTGAATGTAAGGTGGTTCTTCCTCCAAAGACAACTGAAGGCCACACCCACAAAATAGGCTACAATTTTTTTTTAAAGCATTAATATCATTTTTCTGTTGTGAATATACTTACAAGTACTGTAAATCATATTACAGATGATATATCAAACCATGATAAAAGTTTGAAACGTGTTCCTGTTTACTGGCTATAGCAAGTAATTTTCTTGAGTACAACAATACATGTGTAGATATGAAACGATTTATCTTGTAAAGACTTTGAAAATGGATTATTTTATCTTCAAGACAAACCCACCCCACCTCAAGGCCCGGTAGATGTGATTGAAAGTACATCGAATTGTATTCATTTCAAGTGGAGGCCCCCAAAGGACGATGGCGGCAGTCCGCTGACAACTTACATCCTAGAGCGTCAGCAGGTGGGACGCAACACCTGGAAGAAGCTGGGGGAGATCCCTGGGGGAGATGCCACCTACCGGGACACAGATGTAGACCACGGAAGAAAATACTGTTACCGCATTTGGGCCAAGTCAGCAGAAGGTGTCAGTGAGATGATGGAGAGCGATGACATCATGGCTGGTGCAAAGGGTGAGTGCAATGTTTCCTTTTGCTGTCAGTCACTATGTTTCTCTTAGTATTTTATGTAACCAAACCTTAGTGTAGGTTCTAATTTACTGATATGTTCTCCATTATATAAACAATTTCCACAATTTACTAGTAAAGAATAATCTGTGATCCAGACTACCATATACAGTACATATACAGAAGCACATACCACACTAATCATCAGAATAACTGCATTTGTAATAATTCAGCAATCTATCCATCCATCTTCTAACCATTGATTCTGGTCAGGATGGCTGAATATGGAAAAAAATTGATGGAATTTGTGATGTCTGTAAAAATAAATATTGCCACATCTGTACTAATCCAAACTGATAAACTGAATAAGCCTGATTTTCATAATTTATGATACACAAATTCTCAAGCTATTACGTCACATTCTCTTCATATGCTCACTGTGATTTGTGCAGTTTTACTGTATATATAAGAGATGATTTACCATCTAGAACTGAAACGCACTGGGAATAGACTGAACAGAAAAGTTTTTGATATTTATGAAAGATGTAAAACCAACATATTTTCACAGAACCCTACTTTTAATATTCTTAATATTTCCCTTTTGTCATCAGTTGTATTGAAATTTGCAAATAGCTGCCATGAACAGTTGTTTCTGCTATAATTCCTCAGCATTCCCAAATGCACCAGCTGCACCAAAGGTAGTCAGTGCCTTCAAGAACTGCATCACTCTGCAATGGGCGGCTCCTTCCAACACTGGAGGAGGCAGCATCTTAGGCTACCACCTGGAGAAGCGCAAGAAGGGGAGCAACCTGTGGACACCAGTCAATCCCGCGGATGAACCTATTCAAGGTCTGAGCTATTCAAGTAGCAAACCCATAAAATACATATATGGAGGGTTTAAATTAATGATCAGTGGTCATTGTTGACACACCACAGCACAGAAATGTGTCCTCTGCATTTAACCAATATGTGACATTGTGACATAGCAGGGGGCAGCTAATTCAGCGCCCGGGGAGCAGTGCTTGGGGACGGTACCTTGCTCAGAGTACCTCAGTGGTGCCTTACTGGTCAGGGATTCAAAAATGCAATCTTTCAATTACAAGTGCACTTCCCTAACCATTAAGCCACCAATGCTAATTAACTTTTTTTTTTTTTCTTATTTAGTGATCATTGGTCATTGTTAGTTGTACTGGTTTCACTTAAATGAGGTAACAGGGAATTTACACACCATAGAATTGTATTTGTTTATTGGAAACACTGACAATAATTCTCAGCTGATGTTCTTCTTGTTTTTTAACTCTTAGAGAAAAGGTACGCAGTGACAGAAGTTGTTGCCGGAACAGAGTACGAGTTCCGCGTCATGGCGGTAAACATCTCAGGGTTCGGTGAGCCCAGTGCCCCATCGGAATCTGTGATGGCCAGAGACCCAAAGAGTAAGTCTAGTTGAGGTCATGATTTATCAGCTTTGAAACTTAAATTTCATGTTATATATTTTGGCATTATATAGGTAATTAACAGGTACTATAATCTTCCAAATTGATAAATAATTCCTAAATCATAATTTCAGAGTTGCCTGGAAAGGTTTTGGGGCTGAAGGTAACTAATTCCACATACAATAGCTTGTCCCTTGCTTGGAATAAACCAAAAGTGGACAGTGGGGTGCAAGATGAGGCCAAGGGCTACTTTGTGGAGATCAGGCCTGCCGACAGCACGGAGTGGGTTCGCTGTAACTCCAATCCCATCACCGCAACATTCTTCACTGTGATTGGCCTGAGGTCCATGGCCATGTACTGGGTGAGGGCGATTGCCACCAATGAGGGGGGGGAGGGCGAGCCCCAGCAACTGGATAACTATATCCTTGCCATGCCCCCACCTGGTAAGAAGAGACAGTAGCACGTCTGCTTTGCAGCCCAACTGTGTTTTAGTTTTGGTCAATACAAAGAAAAGTGTTATTTTTTTCTAAGGAATGTTTCTACTTTCCAGTGAGACCAACATTTAAGAACCCCAAGGGCACTAAGTTGACATTAGTTAGGGCAGGCAATTCTGCCCGGGTCAACATCAACTATGAGGTAAGAGGAAACCAATTCCTTCCGGAAGTAGCCTCTAAGACGTTAAGGCAGTTTTTACGGCATATTTAAAAATTGAGTTTTAAGAATTGCTGTAATTACCGTGATTATGGATGTCCAACGTTTTTGATTCTTTTTAAAGTTCTTTGTATACAATCCTCTGATGCAATTTAGAAAGTCATTGTGATGTACACATCTCTTCAGGCCTCCCCGTTGCCAGAAGTAACTTGGCTGAAGGATGGCTTGCCCATTCCCAAACGGGTGACGGTGACCAACGCAGAGGGGGCATCCCAGCTCCTCATCCCCTCCTCAGAGCGCTCCGACACTGGAGTGTACGCCATCATAGTCAAGAATCTGGTCGGCCAGGAAACCTTCAGCGTAGAGATCAGAGTTACAGGTAGCTCCAGATGTCTTGGGAGGTCATAAACTCCTTGATTCCTTGATAAAAACCACATTAACATGGGTACTGCAAGGCAGAGATGGGCACATGGACAAAACACGGATGTCACTGATGGCAGAATTGTATAACTGAAGGTAGCATAGTTTGTTAGGGCAATGTACGTTGTGCAGATGTAGTTTCAGAAGGTCACTGTGACTCTTGGATGCCTCCAGATGATCCTAAACCGCCTGGACTGCTGCATCTGGAGGAGAAAGTTCCTGGCACAGTGACCGTGTCCTGGGCACCATCTCCAGATGAGAACCTCGATGACCGCCTACACTACACGGTGTCCAAACATGATTCCGTCAAGCGAAGATGGCACACTGTGGCTCAGCGGCTCTTCAACAACAAGTTCACCGTGGTAAACATCATGGCCGGACGCGAGTACCGATTCCGTGTCTACGCCAACAACGACATGGGGGTCTCTGAACCATCTGAGTCACCAACCTGGGCTACCAAGAAAGAGAAAGGTTTGTTAAACTCTCTATAAGCTCCATTCAAGAACAGTCAACATAAATGCAAAAAATACATTATGAAACAGTCATACAAATGTACACTGCATAGGAAAATTTGGACAGCTGCTACATACTATTAAAGAAAATATAAAGTGCATCATATAGTGATCAATATATTAATATCATACTTAATTTTCTTCAGAAAGCAGCTGGACGGTTGGGGGGGGGGGGGGGGGAATCCCACCTCTGCTCTGTATGCGGAGAGATCCACATATTACATTGTGGGGGCATTTGGTCCTCACAATGTCATACTGTAGTAACCTGTTATCTTGATGTTGTGGGGACCAGGTCCCCACAGGGGAAAACTCATTTTTATTAAAATCTGTGACTGCAATAAAAAAACTAAAAATGCCTGAAGTCTTGCATTTGGTTTGGTCACTTCTGGTTAAGGTTAGGTAGGGGTTAAGGTCGTCATTATTGGGATTAGGGTTGTGCCCATAGAAATGAATGGACAGTCCCCAGAAAGATATGACTACAGGTCTCTCCTTCTAATAGCTCCCATCCTGTCCAGGCTGTCCTCCAGCCTTGTGTCACATGTTGTCTGGCATATGCTCCTACCCATTAGGTAACTGGACATTATTACAAAGAGCTCAAGAACTTACAATCCACGTTTAGTACAGAATTTAATTCTTAACTACACAACTGCCTGCATTAAAAAAATACATAACCAAAATATGACCTCCCACAAGGCACCTTTGCATTCCATCATTTCTTTAAAATTGAGCAGCACATTTCATATGTAAAAAGAGACGTTTGAAAACAAAGAGCAGTTTCTTTTTCCTTTTATTTCAAATCACTATATATGAAATGAAATATAAAAAAGGAGACATAACCAAATAAAGGAAAGTATAAAGACACAGAGCAATAACTAATACTTACTTCTTTTTTTTTTACTTCAGTTCAATTAAATTTGTTTTTATATAGTGCCTCTCACAACAGAGTCACTCCAAGGTGCTTTACAAGGGTGTTTTGTGATACATTACAATATTATTAAGATAGAATAATGCAAAAACAGGGAAAATGAAAGACAAAGAAAGAAAGACAGATGACAATGGAGGAGAGGAACCAAAAACTGCAAAGTAGGGAGGAAACAAAACCTCAGGGGGTCCAATGTCAACTGGCTGCCCAGCCCCCCCCCCCCCCCCCCCCCCCCCCCGGCCATGCCAACATTATAGAAAAGAAAAGATTGGGCCTGCTTGCTACAAGCAAGGTGTAAACTGTGGTCAAGGTCAAGGCCAACATCCATCAATGAGTCAGTTCTCCATGCCAGCCTGTGTAGGGAGGCATTTTGAAGTCTACATCCACAGTTATACACTTCACCATATCCACAATGTCACCCTTCCATATTTTCTCATTTTCCTGTTTTATTTTATTTAGATAAGTTTGTGTTGAACGTGCCCAAATCAAAGAGCTGTAACTTCCAGACGTCACCCAAATTCCTGGTGCCGCTGAAGATGCACTCGGCTCCTGAAGGCTACGAGTGCTACATGAGCTGCGCGGTAACGGGCAATCCGGCACCTCGGATTACCTGGTACCATGACAGCGTGAGCCTTAACACCGACGCCGACTACCACATCACCAACACCTGCGGCGTCTGCTCCCTGCTGATCCTCCGGGTCGGGCCTAAGAGCAGCGGGGAGTACAAGGTCATGGCGGAGAACCGGCTCGGTCGGGCCGAGAGCTCCACCACTCTCACCGTGAGAGGTATGTGTCTAAACTGAGAACCTCATACTCACATAGCCTTTGGGTATCATCAGATCAGAGGCAGCTGGTCCACATGGAGACTAAATTATGGATGAACTCATTACTAAAATTTTATTGTTATTTTCCCTCTTCATTGGAAAATGCCACTATTGCGGTATGGTAAAGGTAAAATGTATTACTTTATACTGCCTGAATGCTTTCAGCCACTAGCTGCCACTGAAATAGATAACAATAGAATGCAAAAGTCTGAAAATGATGTTTAAATGATCACGATCATGAAGTTGGTGTTAGCTCAGCCATTTAAAAATCCTACCTAAGCTCATCACAGTATTTGCAGTAACCACCAAACATACCCATGTATTTGTTAACTCCATACCATGTTTGGCTAATGAATACCTTATTGAGTTATATAAACAATTAGTTAAATAAGCTGGTGCTGAAATTTAATTAATACACGGGGTTCCCCTGAGGAGTGGTTTGGGAACTAAAGTGGTGTTCTAGCCATCCAACAAGTTTTTTTGGAGAACAGAAGAATTTCTTCTCATTTTTTATTTCACTTCTGCACATTACTGTAGTATAACTATTATGAATAACACTTGGTATTATTGGCTTTAAATCCCCTATTAGACACAATAACAAATGTAGAATCTCTCTGTTTAGTCTTTCATCCTTTTCTTCTTTTTCTCAGAAACACTGTGATCAAGATGATTGAATTCATCATTTAGCTTCATATATGATATTTGATTTGTAAAAAATCTGAATGGTCTGAATGTTCTTTTTTGGCACAGTTGATCTTTTTATTGGTAGAACAGAGCATTTTTCTAAAAAGAAACTTTCAAATGTGCTTTGTAGTTAATCAGAATAATTGTTCAGCAAGGATACAAAGAAGAGAAAAAGAAAAATGTCAGTATTGGAGGAGCTGGAAGTTATTCATTGATCCTTTAAAATATGGGAATTAGGGAATAACACTGGGAATTTCGGAATTTCGGTGTGCATGCGAATGGCTGGGTAACATCAGCAAGTACCAGGGGACAGAAATTCTGGAATGACCCCTGAAAGAAGGGCTTTCAGAGTTACTTTGACAGTTTGTAGCAAATCATTTGTCAGAAGATATCACTCCCCCACTCTTTTTTCCATGCTTCTTAGGTGCTTTTATTTTGCCAGTAAGTATATTGTGTGTATTATACTTATAAGAGTGGTCTTTGCTATAAGCGATTTGTAATCTTTCAATAAATTACTAGTAGTTTTTACTAGTAGAAATCTAAATGTACTACAGTATGTACTGTTACTCAATAAAATAATTCTAAGCCATGGCAGACAGCTAAACATAATATGATGTCTTGGTTACTCTAAATGTGTTGTGACTTGATGGTTTTTGAATGTTGCTGTATTACAAATGATGCACCCAGTGTCTGTCCAGCTCCTTTTATTTTATTTTTTGCAAAGTGGCAAAAGTGAAAGTGAAACTTAACCGTGTGTTTCGGATATCAGAAACACAAGTAAAAAATTCAACCCCCCCTCCAAAAATGAAAACATGAACACTAACTGTCACGCCCAGCTCAATACGATCCTTGTGTGTGCCACGCCCACCTCGTTACCTCCTGTTTCTGCCTGATTGTTCTCACCTGTTGCTCGTTACCCTTAGCTTGTCTTGTGTATTTTGTCCTCGTCTGAGTCAGTCTTCCCCAGACTTGTCATTAATGTTTGCTATCGTGCTTCCCAGGTCCTGTCTGCTGAATAAACCCCCGTTTATTCGACTACCTAGTTTGGCTTACCTGCTTTCCTGCTCGGCTGCAAGCCGTAACGTGACACTAACAGTATTTGATAGAGTGACAATAGTAGGCTTGGGTGTATTTTGCTAGAGTAGGCTCTAACCAGCCTTCCAGGTAATTGGGTTGAGATGCTGTAGCTCATGCAAGGCCATTGGAAAAGGCTCATGAGCTACACTTTTCAAGGCAGATCCCAGAGATCCTGACTGGGGTCTACCTCAGAAATTAGAGCCAATCTAGAATATTTTTCTTTTTATTTCTGGTAGCCCGGCAACATTTTAAAACATTCAATGTGTGTTAATGCTTTTGCAAAGCCTTGTGTGCAAACAACAATGGGTCAAAATAACATACAGAGATGACTGGCCTGTGAAGTAAAAAATTGCAATATTTTAACAAAGTTTAATGGGAAAACGAGTTCAACTTTACTGTTTCATTCTGTGAAATTAATTAAAAAAAAACGTAATACTTGAAAAATGCAAAGCCGTGCTTTTTTTCTTTTAAAATATATTCATAAAAATACTACAGTCCAATAATTTTTTTGGAAAGCAATAGGCAATACAGCATTGAGCAGGATGGGATGGAGAATGAATTCATATTAATTCGCATCTCCTACCAACTTCTGTTAGGCAGCCTGCGTGATACTGTATGTAGTGTTAATTTACTGTTCTTTGTATGCAGTCCCCTTTTTTTCACCAAACGTGACAAAGATGTGCATAGCCAAAAAGCTCTGGTTCTGCTGGCAGAAGGTTACACTGAGCAGCAGGTTGCTTCCAGGTTCAAAATTTGTAAGACAGCAGCACAAGAACAAGGTGAAGCAGGAGACACTCGAAACGACCAGAAACCAGCCAGGTAAAGGGCAGAAGCGACATTCTAATGCCAGACATGACCATTAACTTATCCGACAGTTTCTCAGGAATTGTAGGATGACATCACGTGACCTTCAAAATGAATGGGAAACATTAAGTGCATGTGTGAAGTGCACTGCTAGGAGAGTTCATATCAGGTTCCTAGAAGCAGGACTGAAGTCACGTAAAACGTGGAAGAAGCCCTTCATTAATGAAAAACAGAGAAGAACCAGAGAGGCAGATGACAGGTTCATCTGTACCTACCATTATTCAGATGAGGGAACATTTCAGACCTGGCAGGTCCCAAGTCACTTCGATGAGCCAAGCTTCTAATCAAGTCCGAACTGGAGGATTACAGCAGTCTCTGTGATATCAGACTCAGCAACGCTTTGGAAACTGGAGGTCAAGGAAAAGGTAAGAACAACGTACATGGCAACTTAATGGTTAGTTGTCAATCAACGAAATTAGGGGTCTAACCATACACAAAATTCACGGTTCTATGCAAACCTTGGTTTTGGATTCACGCTTCGATGCAAGTAAGGTACAGTAGGGAAAACTTCATCATGGAAAACCTGGAAAAGTTTTGGAATTTTGAAATAATTTTTCCAGGCCCTGGATAAGTTTTGGAATTCTTGTATAGAGAGGAAAAGTTTTGGAAAGTAGCCTTGTTCATTTTTGTTTCCCGCTTCGTTCCGCAACATGCTAATGGAAATGTACGAGCGGAAGTCAATAGTTAACTACCTTGGTAAACATCTGTTTCCGCGCAGATTTCACGTATTTCAGATCGCTTTTTTGCTCGCTATTCCAGTTTTTATTGTTTTATTTATTTTTTTGCACATATTTAAATTTTATTGATCACAGTTTCCTGTTTTTGACTCCGTTTGCCTCTACCAATCATAAGGAACGTACAATTATTTTACTATTGGGATTATTTTTGTTAATTTTCTTAATAATTAACGCTATTTGCACATTGGCGAAAGTTGTCCACCGTCTGTTTATTTCATAAGCAGATTGGCTATTATCGTACCGAAAATTGTATTATTACTATCTGAAACTGCATGATCATCAAATCAAAGCAAACGTTTGGGTTTTGGAAAATTCTTATGGTACTGGAAAAGTTTTGGAAAAGTCATGGAAATTTATTCTGCCAGAATTGGGGGAATCCTGTTATCATGAAATGTTCTTTTATTAAAATTGCCAACAAACACAATTATGAACAGTTGTAAACTAAAGGCAATGGGTCTGTTGATATGTTTGAGTAACATGAGTGACGCTTATTTTCATACTGTAAAAAAATAAATGCAAAATAAATTTTTAAATCAAAAGTATAAACATCAAGTCAGGTCAGGTTGGAGAGCACACACCACATGACAAAACACCTCGAGATCCCAGTTGACAACCCCCCAGGTTGACATGTGGTCTAGCCCCACCCTCCGGAAACGGCTGTCTATCTGCCACAGCCAGGTGTTATGTGGACGTCCCCTTAGCCTGGTTCAGGTGCTCGGGTCCTCAGCAATGAGTATCCTGCAAGCCAGATCACCCTCAGCAAATCACGCCACACACTGTAGTGCCGTAACTGACGCTCCCTCACTACGCCGGTAATGTGCCTCATTCGGGACTCCTTCAGCAACCATTAGTTTTTGCACAAAGTCAAATCAGCGGTACCCAAGGATTCTCCAAATGAAAAATACACAGAATTTTGTTGAAGAATGTTGTTTGCTGTTTGTTAAGACAATAAGATGTTGACATCTTCTTAAGTACAGTTCACATTTTCAGAAAGTTCAATGAAGCCATAAAAAACACTTTAACCCCAAAACCTTTTGTGGCATAAGCTTAAAATGGGTTTGGTTCTGTATATTTGACCAGGATTATATTGCCACTAATCTTAACACCAAACTGAATTTACTGTAACTTGAAACTTGTGCCTGCTTAAGTTCTGACTTTGAGGCTCCATTTTGCATGAACCACTCAATAAATATATTTTGAGTTGTCCCAGTTATTTCTGTTTTTATAGCAATTACGAGAGGTCAGCAAATCTTACTGTCTGGCTATTACTGTACAAGCATGCTGAAGGAGACACATTGACCTTAATGCTTTTAACTATTGGTAAGCTGCACTGGGTAAGGCAGATCCTTAAAGTCCTGTAAGATGTGAGGTGTGTATGTGCTTTTGGCAGTGGACAGGGGTCAGCATGGGCCCTCTGCCCAGTCTGTAGCTATGCAGCATTATACGCAGCAGGCTGTCATGCACTGTGCTTTGATACTGTACCTTTAGTCAGCATTAAGGTTTTCAGCAGTTTGTATTGCAGTTCCTATCCTGTGGTATCGGACCTGACAGACTAGCTTTTGTTCCCCACGCGCATAAATGAGCATTGGGCGCCCATGACCCTGTTGCTGGTTCACCAGTTGTCCTTCCTTGGACCTCTTTTGGTAGCTACTGACCACTGCATCCCAGGAACACCCCACAAGACCTTTTCCCTGTTTTTAACACATCTATTTCAAGAACTGACTATTTATTTGCATCGTAACATATCCCAATCCTTGACAGGTGCCATTAATGTTATGGCTGATCAATGGATACTTATAATCAAGTGATTTACACTTACTTACATTCAAATAAAGGATTTCAGTACTTCTTGTAAGAACTTGCATTGACCTCGTTCTTTGCCTGGTTTCATAAACAGTCAGCAAAAAAATGAAGACATCCATGCAAGGACTCTAATGTACTTCTCTGTTTCTTGAATCTTCTATAAATCAGGAATAGACTGACAGAAATCCAGATACTGTAAGTTTTGAATGTCATCACAAAGTTCTCCATACAGCCTCTGAATCTGTAGCTTCTCTTTGTATGTGTTCAATACATTCTAACACATTATGTAAAATGTGTAATGTCATTTTCATTGCTACTTGAACCCAAAATTAAAACTGCACTTGAGTAGAATACAGGTTGACTCTGAATAGCATCATTGTGTAGTTCTGCTATTGAACATTAGGTTAGGATGAGCTGAGCAAGTCTTGCACATGTATTTCCTGGTTTCAGAGTGACTTCCTCCTTAAAGTAGAACTTCCTGTGTCAGTTTAAGTAAAGGAATACCAATAAAGATGAGACAAAATACATGTATGTGAGTGTCAATAAAATACATATGCAAAAGTGGCAATATATTTATGCAAGAATGTGACACATACTGTATAAGTTAGTGTGAGTGTAAATGTATGTACCTCATTCTAGTGAATTCCATTACATTACCCAAGAACACTGTTATCCACTTAATGAGGCACATATTTGGAAACTTTCAAGAAATACGATAAAACATTTCATTTATCCTCCAAAACAATGATTAAGAAATAAATTTTTAAAAATGCATAATGATGCTGTCCTGCATCATGTTTGAGTCCCTGTCCCTCAAGAACACTATTAGATTCTACAGGTCCTGTTACCTGCAAAGCCTGCGTATTCGCTGTAATCTCTGTGATTGCCACTAAGCATGGCCTTGCAAATGCAGAGCTGGAAGTGTTCATTAGTGTTGTCTTGCAGAAGATTAGCTGCCATAGGAGCTGAGGGCAACGTGCTGATTAAATATTACTGTTTATTTTCCGGGTGTCAGGTCCCACCCACCTCCTCTGCCGGACCCTCCTGTCTCCTCGCTCATGTGGCCCTGATGGACCACACCTGATGCTTGTTGCCTCTTGTTAGTCTATTTAAGTACCTGTTTGCCTGGTCATCACTAGTCCGGTCATTAATGTCACTCTTCCTGTCAGCCCATGTCTGTCCTGGTACTAGTCCTCACGTTTAGATCCCTCAAAATTTTAATTTCCAGTTCCTGTTTGTTTAAGCTCAATAAAACCCCTTTTGTTTCACCAAACACCAGCCCTCAAGTCATTCGTCCTGCATGTCATGACACAGGCTAAGGAAGCTGACATTTCTCAGCCCTCAGATTTTCCATCTGAAACAGAGTCCAATCCCTGTCAAGCAAAGCATGACATCAAGTTAAACAGTAGTGTGTTCCAGACTCTCGATTGTGATTCTTTTAATTTTTTATAAAAAATATATATTATATAGGATGACATAGCTCAGTCGGTTCCACCTAGAGTCTGCGGGTTCCCAATGAGTTGTTTTGTAACACTATCCAAAGTAGCACACTTAGGTCAACTGGTGTCACTAGATTGCCTATAGTGTATATGATTGTGTTTGTGACTGTGTGTGTATGTATTTACCTGGGATACATTACACTCCTGGGATACATTACACTCCCTACCCAACTAGGATAAGCAGCTAGGAGATGGATGGATAGATTTATATTGTTATAAAGCTGCATAATTCATGTTCTTCCATCCATCTTGGTCTATAGTTATTCAACAAATCAAATTATCCAATTATTTGGGTTTTATCTGATGCAGGTTCATAGCAAGCCTGCGGGTGATCCCACAAAGTGCAGGATACGGGGACTGCTGATACTGTCAATTTCTGACACTCACTTCCAGGAAAAGCAGCAAGACTAAGTAAGCATGTACCTTGGCTTGTACCATCAGCTACTACTGTGTTTTCCAAAGGTCCCATTTTCCCAATGATCAAACGCAGTTGTTTTTACTGTATTTTTTAAATGGCAATTTCCCTTGGAGATTCATGTCCTCAGGCTCACAGGGACACACTGCATATCCCGTAATACATTAATAATACATTATTATGCACTGTCAGTATAAGAATGTTCTATTGATCTTAGTTCGAGCGCAATGAGGATTCCTGCTGTCATTCCTACCCCAAAATGTTTACTTCTTGCAGAAAGCTTGTGTTTTTCTTACCGCCCAGATAAAGAAGTGAGTAAACAGTGACCCAGTATATAAGAGCCAGAGCAAAGCCAGAGTCCCCAGTCACCCAGTGAAGACTAGTGGACACAGTCACGATGAAGCTAGCCTTTCTGCTGTTCACCCTGGTGGCCCTCTCAGAGTGCCTGCACAAGTAAGACCTTCATTCTACCTCTTTGAATTATTTACATTCTTGCAGAAACTGTAGTTGAGTGAGTTCAAGTTTGCCATTATCTCCAACTGCACCTAATGAAGCGTTAAGGTTCAGCAGGGTGAATTTCACGATTTTAAGGTTCTTTCATTTTAAGTGAAAAAATCAGGGTGAGATTACACCTTAAATTCTTCACGTGGTTCATGATAATGTGTTGGAGCACAGCCAGGCTAATATGACTGTGATGTACTTGCAGGATTCCGCTGAAAAAGGGAAAGACGACAAGGGAGGTCCTGCAGGAGCAGGGACTGTGGGAGGAGTTTAGGAAGAGACACCCCTACAAACCTATGGTCAAGTTTGCCAGCAACTTCGCCAACAATGAACGGATGACCAACGATGCTGACGTAAGTGACCGCCGCCAATTCTACGATCTCAGACTGAATGTTTTCCGTTCTTTTTAAACAGACGGCTACTGTAACAGAAATTGTACAGCTTAAGATGCACAAAAACACATGGGCACAATTATAGAATAGGCAGATATTTAGAAGGTAAATGATGAATAATAAGCAGCTTTCTTTAGGAGTTAGGATTCTATAAAACAGGTACTATACATGAGACACAAGGAGTCCCCAGGATACAATTCGAAAGTCTAATTTTCCTGTAATATAATACAGAAAAATAATAATGATAATAATAGAGTAATAAAAATAGAATAGTAAAAATAGTAATACATGCAGTGCTGCATTGTAACTGAAGGTGAGATACCGCTGAAGACTAGCACTGTTTCACGAGCGTCACAAAGTAGTATATATCTTTCTTATTACGAACCCCTGTTAAGTAACTTTTTTTGATTGTTCCTATTGTTTTTCAATTTACAGCTTGAACAGAAAACAGATGATATCAGTGTGTTTCTTTGAGAAATGTCTGCTTAATACAGCTGTTATTCCATAACAAATTTGATTTTAGAAAATAAGACCATTGTAAATTTTACGTAATGGAGAGATGAGCTGTTATTGTTTGAACTACACAAATGATACTTGTGATAAACTTCCAGTATCTTTCTTCCTGTACAGCTGACATACTATGGTGTCATCTCCATTGGAAATCCACCACAGTCCTTCACTGTCATCTTTGACACTGGATCCTCCAACCTATGGGTACCATCCATCAACTGCTCCAGCCAGGCTTGCAGTGAGTCAGGGCTGTTGCCTTGTTGCCTTGGTTACGGTCCTACCTTGGGTTCATATTTAAACTCTGAAGGCTCTGATGATTCTTGATTCATTCCCAGTGAGGTAGCAGAGTCACAAAGGAAGAAAGAACGTAATCTATGACATAGCAGTAATATTAGTTAATAGTTCTGGCAGCTGCTGAAGTTTATGCTTTTACAAGAGCAGCAAGAGTAAGATTTGTGTACTTAGTGACCTCACAATCCAGTATTTCAAGTATCACCCTAAAGGTACAATTACATTGGTCCTGGGTCTTTTTTCAAAAGTTCAAATCCCTAATCACAATTTTATCTGTCTATCAATTTTGCTTAAAAATTAAAAGTAAAAAAATCCTTCAATCACAGACGTTTTTTTTTTTTTTTTACTTTTCCAGGCAACCATGCTAAATTCAACCCAAAAGGGTCCAAAACTTTCAAGTCCACATCTAAGCCAGTGGCCATAGAGTATGGGACTGGGAGCATGACTGGAGTGCTGGGATATGACACCGTTGAGGTAAACCGATGTGCTAAGATACACAGTGTTGTGCTGGCTACACATGGTGAACAAATTCATTGGTCATTCCATTTTCCTTTTCCATGTTTTTGGCCGAGTTTAGCAGAACAGTCTCTTGTCTTTTTCACCACCGTAAAGGTGACATAGAATGCTTTTTTCTCAAATTGTTCTCCATTGTTTACGTAGAAGGTATATGAACTTGGATTGGTTGAAAAATGTCCAGTAGTGGTTTTACGGGTCCAGTTACAACCACATAATTGGCTGTAAAATGAACAGTTCCAGCTATGTAAGTTGCAAACGGGAGGTTTTGGGAAACGTATGCATACAGCCTGCCATTTTCGCTGTTGTCCTCAGCTTTGTTATTCAAAATGCCTGCAGAATAATGGTGTGACATTTGCAAACGATTCATTTCAAATCCCTTCCAACAACTAATTACTCACGCTCACTTCCCTGCAACGAGTCATTCTTTTCTTTCCGAACGAATTAGTGAATGAATCAAAATGAATCCTTTAGTTGAACTGAATCAAAAGAACAGTGTCCCAAAACAGTGTTATTTCATCCCTCACTACAGCAGAACTTTGTTACGTTTGAGGGCATTATTAAGACTATTACATAACAGTCTTGAAATTTCAAAACAGCCCATTTCATTTCCTTCTGTCACATATTCAAGAGTCTTATTTACAAGAGGTAACAACAGTGTTTGAGATTCACGCTATGTTATTTCCATGTACTGTACTTAACTCTCCTTTTTAAACTATGCCAAGGTAAAGTCAGATTATCCTTCTATGGCACCTTTAACAAATGCATCTGATTATTATTGACACTTCAACTAAGTTTTACATTTTGGACACTAATTAAAGAAGCCAATCATCTGCAACTTGACTGTGGTCCCTAAGGATCAAATTCAAACTGGGCTGTCATAACAGCACATTCATGGAGCTTCACTTATCACCATATTGACATTACATTGCAAACCTATTTATCCACAGTGTTAATAATCTGTTCTTTCCTGTCTAAGGTTGGTGGGATCATCGTTCGCAACCAGATCTTTGGTCTGAGTCAGACAGAGGCTCAATTCATGCATTACATGAAACCCGATGGGATCCTGGGACTCGCCTTCCCTTCAATTTCTTCTTCTGGTGCCACCCCAGTCTTTGATAATATGATGAGCCAGAGGCTGGTTTCTCAGGA